CATAAAGTTTATTGCCAAGTTATTGTGTTTTGTGGTTATTTGTTTGAGGTCTCTAGTGGTAAGTGAATATTTTATTAATTTTCTAATCATAGTTATCATTTTAAATTGTATTTGTCTAAAACTAATACAATTTTAAATTAAATAGGTATATTTAAGTGCAATTTATAAACTTTCGGTTAGCATTGAAGGTAAAACATTAAAGGTGAATACATGCATGCATTTATATACCGTACCTTTATTTGCAAGCTATACATCTCGAGGGTAACAAATGGGCTGATGGATTGGCCAAATTTTGGGAATCATAAGGAGACAGGTGAAATAGGCCCTAAATGATTAGGCTGATAAAAAGGCAAATGACAGCTGGAGGAGTGATGGCAAGCCAGAGACTTCACTTCTTTAGTTATATGTAGTTTTCTGTTCTATTTTATGTTTTCATAAAAATAAATATTTAAATTAAAGAATAAGACTTTTATTTTAAAACCCATGGGTATCCAATGGATAACCATTGGATATATAAATGTCCGACCCTCCTGGACATAGTGTGGATATCCAATGGATACCCAGTGGATATAGTATTGTATGCAATATGGTTGTCATCTGTATTGGATATGGTGAATCAATGGATATTTACTTTTCAATAAATAACATTGCAATGTTATTTATTGAAAAGTAAATATCCATTGATTCACCATATCCAATACAGATGACAACCATATTGCATACAATACTATATCCACTGGGTATCCATTGGATATCCACACTATGTCCAGGAGGGTCGGACATTTATATATCCAATGGTTATCCATTGGATATCCATACAATCTCCATATTGAATACAGATTACAACCATATTGCATACAATAATATATCCACTGGGTATCCATTGGATATCCACACTATGTCCAGGAGGGTCGGACATTTATATATCCAATGGTTATCCATTGGATATCCCGGATATCCTATGTATATCCTGGATATCCATAAAAGAAATCCATTGGATATCCATTGGATGTAATTGTTCCGTGTGGGAAGTAGCGAAAACTACTTCAAAGGAAAATGCTTCTTATCCGCCATTTTTTACTGTACAGTACCACGTGGTAATGTAAATAATAAATTATTTTAGTTGTTTGTAAATGGTTGTTTACTTTTTAATAATAGACGGTAATAGACGGTATTAATAATTAAATAAAAAATTAATAATAAATATTAAGACTTTTATATTTATAAACATTATTAAATAAATAATTTGTTTATATTTAAATATTGATTAAGCGCCCATATTTTACAAAAACTAAATTCATAAGTTCAACAGTAAAATTTAAAGGGTTTATAAGTTTACCTGCCTAATTAAACATTATATTGTTATTCTGGAAGTTATAAACTACCTATCTACATATTTAATAAACGACGACATTGAAAAGCCAAGTCCGTAGTGGTTCCATTTAAAAAAGAAGGGATAATATAATCTAATGTAAGTGTGACGAAGACATTTAATATAAAAACAAGTAATTATAACGCTCTAGCAACGATATTGAAACGTTCTAGTAACGTAGCAGCTACGTTCCAAATAGTAGCAGGGTTTATAGCTAGTGACTTATTTGCTACCTTTTTGGAACTCAATAATTGTTCCCCACTTTAGTAGTAACTTAGTAATGAAAGAGTAATATAAAGAGACCGGCGACTGTCGCAAAACACTTTAAAGTTTCTTCAATAGTCCCATAAACGTAACAAATACTTAAATTGTTGCTTGGGATATGAGACACATCATTTTTATTGTCTATGGTTAATTTGCAATTTTGATTTTTCTGAAAATTTCGGAATAAAAATTTTTTGATAAAAATCATTTTTGGTTAATTTTCGTTCATTTGTTGTTCTAAACCCATCCGTAGATGTATATTGAGGTGTTGCAACCTATTTTGCCACTTTTTCTTCAAATAAATGACTGATACTTAATCCTCAATGTCCACTAAATTCTTTACACAAAATTCTATAAGGTTTCGGGTAGTGAAAACACTAAATAAGTAAAATTACAGATTCTCCTTCCAAAATATTTTTTTGATATGCAGGATATTAATAAATCATTGTCCAAATATTGCCCCTAAAACCGTATAGTTGTATACTTATTTTTAAGACAATGTCATTCAAAAATGAATTCATTCCAGCGCTCCCCTTAATGTTGTATTTAATATAATTTAATAGTTATTCTGGATATGAAATTTCAAGATTATGCCGCATTAATTAAGAAACATGAAACTATAAAAACTATTCTTATGTACACAAGGACGTAAGCAATGTTTTTGTTTTGATTCGAAACCCAGGGCCGGATTTAAGGGAGGGCAATCAGGGCAACTGCCCGGGGCCTCCACATAAAATGTATTTATTCAAAAAAAAAATCTTACACAACGATAGAGTACCTAATATTACGATTTGAAAAATAATTAGGGGCCTCCACTCCCTAGGGTATAGGTACCTATACCTAAATAATTATTGATAGACAAGTAAAAAGTTTATTCACAATATAAAAACAAAAAATGTTAAAAAAAAAGTTTATACAAAAGCACGGGGGGATTCTTGGGGGGAAGGTTGGGCTTTGTCAAAAGCAATGTGATAAATTTCTTCGAAACTACTAACAAAATGGACTTCCAATCCTTCGGAAATGTATTCAGGTAAATCGTTGTAATCTTTTTTATTTCCTTCTGGCAAAATTATGCATTTTATACCTGTTCTTTTTGCCTGAAAATTGTTAAAAAGTTTGGATATAATGTTTGTGTATGTTAAAATACAGATAATTTTAACTTTAAATTATGGCATAATTTGTAAAACCAACTGAAAATTATTAGGTGTTTTCGCGGTGCTAATCCCGAATTAGTTCTGACATCCTAGGCATGAGCAATTTAAGATTTAACTCGGAAACTATCATAATAAATTAAAGCTGATAAAATTTGCTACAAGATTAATTTTCTATTTATTTTTTTGCATTGTTTTTTGAGAACAATTCTGTTTTAGTAAAAGTATGCAGTGTGTTCTGAGGATTTATTTAGTTTTTTCGAAGAAGTCATTTTAACATAAACCTAAAAAAAAATCGGATTTTATCTGAAGTGTTCAAAAATTAGGAAAACTTGAAATTTATTCAAGAGTACACGGTGTGTCTGAACGAAGTTTGAGTCATATAAAAATGCCGCCAAAAACTGATTGCAGTTTCTTGTTCGGGACCCTTTGGTGACTTAAAAATGATAATATTATTTACCAAAATCCTGCTCCTCTTTTCGAAATTTTTTGAAAATTCATAATTTTTTTTAAATTTTTGTTTATTTGAAAGTCTACCTTTGACAGAGTACACATTTGTATACCGATTTTTATAAAATTAGAGTATATTATGAAGGAGACTTAAAGAATACTTTTTAATACTGTTCACATCATTTGATATATACAGGGTAAGCCAAAAATCGCTTATTTTTAATAAAGCAAAAGCGTAAATTCATGATTTTGGCATAATACGCAAAAAAGATTTTTTTTTTAGATATTTCTACGTTTATCAGGTTACAAAATGGCATTCTTATTAACCTTTTATATAAAAAATATATTTTTAATAAAATTAAATAAAATAACGCTTAGAGAATATTTAAAATGTTGTTTAATTTAGGCTTTTTAGTAGTGTTCAATTTTAAAGTTTTTTGATCGGCACTCTTTGGAGATTTAAAAACGATATTTACCAAAACTGCTTTTTTTAAATTTGTAAAAAATTCATTTTTTTAATTATTTGTTTATCGGAAAGTCTACCTTTGCCAGAGTACACATTTGTACACCGATTTTGGTAAATATCAATTTTAAGTCTCCAAAGGGTCCCAAACAAGAAACTGCAATCAGTTTTTGGCGGCATTTTTATGTGACTTAAACTTCGTTTAGGCACACCGTGAGTAAGTAACTTTATTTTTAGTTTTTATTTTGACAAATCATTTTCTAAAATTAATTTAAAACTTTAAAATGCATTTTCGGAAGAATATATAAATCATTTTACAAAATATAGTTAATAATTATTACCTATATTTTATAAAATAGTTGAAATATTCTTACAAATGAAGAGCGTTTATTCAAAAAGGGACATGTCCATTTTAGCGATTTTCAGAAATAAGTCAAAAGCAAAAGAATTCTGTTATTTTTGACTTGTTTCTGCAAATCGCTAAAATGGACATGTCCCTTTTTGAATAAACGCTCCTCAAATATGCATTTGGATCATAAAACTGATTTTATTTGTCAACATTTTAACATTTGGACTTTTGCTGCTTTTAATCTCACAGATTCAATTAAAAAAGATGTCTGAATAAAAAAATAACTTTTGAAAACAATTCTGGTTTATAAAAAAGTATGCAGTATGTCCGCGGATTGAGTTTACAAGTGTTTTTTTTTTACTTTGTTTTTTTTTCAAAGAAAATTCATTCTTAGTAAAAAGTTTTGATCGTCGAAAAAATAACATAAAAAAAATCGTATTTTATCTGAAAGGTGTTTAAAAATTAGGAAAACCTCAAATTTATTCAAGAGTAAGTAACTTTATTTTTAGTTTTTTTTTAAATTTGTTTGTAATTAAAAACGATGCCTGAATAAAAAAATTTGAGAACAATTCTGGTTTATAAAAAAGTATGCAGTACCTATGTCCGCGGATTGAGTTTACAACAGGAATTTTTTGATTGAATTTTTTGAAAAAAAGTTATTCTTAATAAAAAGTTTTCATTGTCAAAAAAATAACATTAACATCAAAAAATTGTTTGTAATTAAAAACGATGCCTGAATAACAAAATTACGATGAAAATTATAAAGTTCATTTTTCTTTGTTTTTCCAGAATCGAGTTTTTTTAACTCAATACAGCTGTATTAAAGACATTAAAGACATGGTACGGTATATTTCAGTTAAAAAAAAATTCTTGAAAACCGTTTAACACCCAAACTAAACCATGTAAAAAGTAAAATTGGGATTTTTTGAAGGTTAAGTAAAAATCTGTGTGTACAAAATTTATAGACTTTTATTTACAACAGTACAAAAACGGTTCGGAATAAAAAAAGTAATGAAACTTTTTATTCTCTTAAAATCTAAATTAAAGCTCTCACTATCATCGAAACACAAAAATAATAACACAATTTGGCGGAAACAACGGACGGTCAACAAATAATTACGAGTTGTTCGTCGAGTGCGCCAAGGTTAAAAAATAAGTATGTAACAACGATGTTGTAATAAACGTGCGGTAAACAGGCGGTTACGGATGTTAAGCGGCGGCGGTCTCTTTGGATTTGTCGAAGGCGATGTTGTAAACTTCGTCTATTGAAGAAACAAAATGGACTTCGAGACCCTCGGTGATAATAGATTGGAGGTCGTCGAAGTCCTTTTTGTTCTCCTCTGGCATTATTATGCACTTAACGCCAGATCGTTTCGCCTAAAATTAAAAAAAACTCCAGTACTCAGGCACACCTAAATTTTAAACTAAACTGCGCACCACTCATGTGTCGCGACCAAAAAGTTCGTCCTTTTTCAAAAGGACATAACTTTTTTGTTTCTTAAACGATTTTATTTTGGTCTGTGATGTCTGCTAGCCCCATCCTCTGGCAATTCATGCTATAGATATGAAGCTCACGGTTCTTCAAGTAAATTTTCTACAGGGTGATATGTAAAACGGTGAAAAATTCATCTTCATCCCCCCGTTTGAAAAAAGAAATATTTTTTCTCGTTTTTACTTTGAAATAATGAAGTATTGAATGAAAAAGTTTTCAAATTTTTCAAATTGGAATCTTAGCATGAAAATATGATTTTTTTTCCAAGAGTACATTTAAGGGTTTTTGGTAGGCAATACACTCAGTCTTTTTAAGGACAAGAAAATAAAATAGTGAAAGATTGTTCCTTGAATAATTTTGAACTAGCGTCCAACAACAAACTTCCATTATTTTCAGAGGGGCCTAAGCAAAGACCACTTTTTCAAAATGACATTTTGGTGAAAATTTGCGAAAACTAAACCTTAACCGATATTTACGTTCGTCGCATGTTTTCTTTATAATTTTGACCTGATTGTGATTCAGTTGTCAAATTTAAGTTTCAGATAAAACCGAAATCACCAAGAATCAAAATTCGAAAACAATTCCCTGCTGTTAAATGTCTTAATAAAATCCGATTGCTGGCGTGTTTCTTGCATATTTATGATTAAAATGCCATTTGAGGATTCATTTTTTGGGCGAAATTACTGAAATTTGTTTGAGTGGTTAGGATAATGTTACATTTAATTTACATTTACATTGCGCACTGGTGATAACTTATCACTGATATGGCTGGTGGATTTTAAGTATACCAATATCTCAGTTATTAGACATGGGACCCACACCAAATTTATAATAGTTTATATTGACATTAAATAAACAAGTTCGGCGCAAACAGAATTTAAATTGAAGTTTGCGAAAAAAAGTTAGTTTTTCCTGTCGCCTACCCTGCCTCCAGGCCCCCCTATTTGAGATAATTCAAATTAAAGTGGTGCAATTTATTATCTACTATAATTTATCGACAAATTTAAAATTTTATTCAAAAAATCCAAATATTACAGATTTTATTCGATTTTAAATTTTTATTATTTATTTTATTAAAATAAAAAAATATTTAAAATGGTATAAAAACTGTAATATTTGGATTTTTTAAATAAAATTTTAAATTTGTCGATAAATTATAGTAGATAATAAATTGCACCACTTTAATTTGAATTATCTCAAATAGGGGGGCCTGGAGGCAGGGTAGGCGACAGGAAAAACTAACTTTTTTTCGCAAACTTCAATTTAAATTCTGTTTGCGCCGAACTTGTTTATTTAATGTCAATATAAACTATTATAAATTTGGTGTGGGTCCCATGTGTAATAACTGAGATATTGGTATACTTAAAATCCACCAGCCGCCATCAGTGATAAGTACCTACCTAATTGGTAATAAAGTTAAATAAAAATATTTTTGTTCATTTTGGAAAATATTCCTCATAATGCGTTTAAATGTTTTTCAAGAACTAATTTTCATTTGATCCTAGATTTGATCATTCAGCGACATGATAATAACGTACTAAAGATGCAAAACACAGTAAAAACCAGCAATCGTGTTTTATTGAGACATTTAACAGCCAGGAATTGTTTTCGAATCTTGATTCTTGGTGATTTTGGTTTTATCTGAAACTTAAATTTGATAACTAAATCACAATAAGGAGGTCAAAATTATGAAGAAAACATGTCACTAATGTAAATATCGGTTTAGCTTGAATTTTCTCAAATTTTCACCAAAATGTTATTTTGAAAAAGTGGTCTTAGTTAGTCCCTCTGAAAATAATGGAAGTTTGTTGCTTGTTGCTTGTTCAGAATTATTTAAGGAACATTTCACTATCTTATCTTCTTGTTCCTAAAAAGACTGTATTGCGTACAAAAAAAGCCTTAAATGTACTCTTTTGGAAAAAAATCATATTTTCGTTGCTAAGATTCCAATACGAAAAATTTTAAAAACGTTTCAAGGTAAGACATAATACTTCATTATTTAAAAGTAAAAACGAGACAAAAATTATTTTTTTACAAACGGGGCTTGGATGAAGTTATTGAATTTTTTTAGCGTTTAACATATCACCCTGTAGGAAATTTACTTGAAGAACCGTGAGCTTCATATCTATATCATGAATTGCCAGAGGATGAGGCTAGCAGACAACACAGACTAAAATAAAATAGTTCAAGAAACAAAAAAATTATGCCGTTTTGAAAAAGAACGAACTTTTTGGTCGCGACACATTGAGTGGTGCGCAGTTTAATTGTTCACAACCATATTGTAAAATACCCTTTTAAAGTTAACCCATGTTATTACTAAAAACTGGTTTTTATGAAATCTCCCTACTCTAAATAGACAACTTTCGAATTAATTAACTATGGATAAAAAGAGATAAACTTTGGGTACTTACTGCAATTGTTTTTTCCTTAATACCGCCCACAGGTAAAACTTTGCCCATAAGTGACACCTCGCCGGTCATGGCGAGGTCCTGTCTGATTGGCTCGTTCTTGGCCAATGAGAGCAAAGCTGTGGCGATGGTACAACCGGCGCTGGGTCCGTCTTTTGGCGTCGCTCCTTCAGGAACGTGCAGATGAAGATGGCTATAACACAAAAAATAGTATATTATGTATTAAGTTTGATAAACACCATCGTCACGAATTTAATTTGGGCACGAGCGAGCTTGAGAGCGAGTGCTTAATTAAATGAGTGCCTAGAAAAGTTTATAAACGAGTTGCATACTATACTTTTTTACGACAAATACACTGCGCGTCAAAATTAACGCATAATAAGTAAAAAATTTCTTACTCTAAAACGCCTTTATCAATTTTTTATAAAATTTACCAATTTTTATAAAATTTTGGATAAAAATACTTTAACTTATATCTCAGTTTACGTGTTTAACCCTTTCAATACTGCGGGGATATATATATATGTGTATGCGTCCCAAAGAAAATTAAAAAATGTCTCTTTATTTAACGTCACGTGAACAATAACCAGCTGTTTTTCGGCCATTGCACGCTCGAAATTGAAAAAGACCAGTCACATAACCTATTTTGTGCAGTTTTTGTGTAAATTTTGCTTAAATTTTTGTGATACTTTATGTGCATTGTACGTCACAACTCATTCCTCAAAATATACGTTGGGACAAAAATATCCCTGCAGTAATATGACAGGGGATAGTTTTATCCCATCAGTGTTTTTTGATAATAAACATTTTCAAAAATAGTAGAATTTCTTTAGTGTGGGGATAAATATATCCCAGGGCATATTACTGCAGGGATAAATCTGTCCCAGGTCTTTTTTTCAAATACCACCAAAGTTAAAAATCTGTCATTCAGTCAATTAACTATTTTTAACCTAAATATAGTTTTAACACTAAAAAAAAGTTTTAAATTAATTTCCGAAAAGTCGTATTGAAAGGGTTAAGGGTTTTTCGAAAAAATATCCTTAAAGCCCTTTTATTTAATAATAAAAAAACGCTCGAAAAAAAACTTTTATAGGGAATTTTTTTTAAGTAAATAAAAAATATACTGTGAAATACCGTATTTTTGTAAGTATACCCTGAAAAAACAGTAACGAAAATACAGGGCTTGAAAGTCTTCAAAAATGACTTTTCAGCAAAATAATCAAAAAGGGGTCATTTTTACCGACTTTGAGGCACTGTATCTTCGTTACTGTTCGTTTGATTTGTAAATTTTCAGGGTATTCTAACAAAAATACGGTCTTTAACAGCATATTTTTTATTTACTTAAAAAAATTTCCCTAAAAGTTATTTTTCAAACGTTTTTTTTATTATAAAATAAAAGGGCTTTAAAAATATTTTCTCGAAAAACCCTCAAACATGTAAACTGAGATGAAGTATTTATATACAAAATTTCATAAAGATTAGTAAATGCATTTGAGAGTTTTTTTACTTATTATGCGTTAATTTTGACGCGCAGTGTACTAAATTTTATCTAAAATATGATTTAAATTAAATATTTGTATAAAGCGACATCTATACGAAAATAAAGTAACCATTCCAATAAACATTTTTGACGTAACTTTCACCGTTATTATTTTAATTAAACTTAACAATAATTGATACTTTAAAATATTAAAATAATTTCATGGATTATTTTAAGAAAATATTTTATCCCAAGATTTTTTTTATTACTATAATTGCAAAACATTCACAAAATATTAAAAATTCTTACACAGGAAATGTTAAAGGTACAAAAAATGACTTGTATTTTTAACTTGGGAATCTACCGGCGTAAAATTTCAAATTTGTATGTGTAAATAAAAATTTATCCCTTGAAAATAGATTAACAATCAATATAGAAGCAGTTTTCAACAGTAAAAGAGAAGAGATTTTTTTATGGGCACTGTACGGAAATTTGTTAACGCTTTATCAGTTAAATTTAGTTAACTGCACTACTACGTCGAAATCAAAAGGTCAGTACAAACGTTCATATAATCTTTTCAAATATTACCGTCAAGAAACTATTTAATACTTTTGTATTAAGATAATATAATAATTTTCACATTTAGTTTTATTTTATAAACTGACAACTAACTTCAGCCCGTGACTAAAGCGCAATAAAGCCACAACTTGTCAGTGTGTGTTTAAAAGGTCACTTAGTGTCATGGAAACATGTGGACGTTTTAAAGGTGGGAATAGAAAAATGTTTTTTAAAAATAAACAAAAATAAAAAATGTTCCAAATGAAGAATAAAAAACATGGAAAAATCAACAATTTTAAAGATAAAATATGAAAAAAATAAATAGTTTAAAAAATTAAAATGAAGATTTTCAAAAATAAATCAGATTAAACAATAGTTTAATAGTACATAGTGGAAGATATCACAAAAATGGCAAAAAGTATAATTTAAAATAAATATTAAAATTCAAAACTAAAAATATCAAAAATTAAAATAATATTAATAATTGAATGCAAAAAATACAATAGCTTTTTTTTTGAAAAAAGTAAAGAAAAAGAATAATAAAATTAAAATAAAAATGTCAATTATGAGTGTTAAATAAGTAAAGAAAAAATTAAGAATTGAAGAATGCAAAACAAGTGTATTGAAAAGTATAATATAAAATAAATATCAAAATTAAAAAAATAGAGGGAAAATAAAAAATCACAAAAATAGAGAATTTCAAAAATAAAAAACTTTCAGGTAAATAATGTTCAGAAATGCTCGACTCGAAAAGTTTAAAAATGCTTGCTGATATTAATCATAATTTTGATATAAATGTTTTTGCAACATAAAGTTATGTTAACATACCAAATTTTAGCAAAATAACACTGTTTTAAATTTATAATAAAAATTACAATTAAGAAACAACATTAAAATTTTAAGTTTATCTAAATTATTTATCCGGGTATATACTAAATAAATTGTAAATAAATTGTAAACATTTTTCAGATGATAATTTATCTGAATAAACTTTAATGTTATTTCTTAATTGATTGAATTACTTTATTTAAATTGAGAAGGTAAGTTTATTGATTTTAAGTAACTTATACCTTAAAAATTAAAAGAAGTAGATGAAAGTAATTTTAACAGCTGTCAAACACGTTTTTAGGTTATTTTGTTTTGTATTTGAATATAATAAAAAATAAAAGGGTCGTAGAAAAACATTGTGTTTTACTTTCTGAATATCAGAAATTAATTTGCGATATCGAAAATTAATTTGTGATATCAAAAATTAATTTTCGATATAGCAAATTAATTTTTGATATCAGAAATTGAATTTGTGATATCAGGAATTGAATTTGTGATATCGGAAATTCAAATGTGATATTTTTAATTGACGATTAAAAAATACTTTGGCGTTCCATACTCAGAGACGTTACATTATTTATTGTTTAACATTTAGATATTAAATTTGTTATTATTACATATAATTTAAACATTAATTATTTTTTTTCAGCAACTTTTTGTATCAATGAAAAGATATAAAAATCCGGTTTATGAAGCCGGGAGTTGAATATAGTAAAATAACACGCCATAGGATAATACATTATATAGGTCAGTTGTTTAATTTTTCAACTTACCTGGTCAAAAGGAATTTGTTTTCGGGATCGGTTTTGTTTAAAAAGTTTCTGGCCACAGTCAGGGCAATTTTGGCAGATTCCTTCATAACTTCGCCCAAATGACCTGTAAGTTCCAAAGAACCTTCAACTTCTTTCTCTGCTGGCAGTCTTCGTGTTGTAGTTTCAATGTACAAAGTAGAACCACCTTTAAAGGAAATATTAAATGAATAAAATAAAAAAAATGTTTTATTTACCCATTGCAGTCCAAGCAAGACCCATAACGACACCTGGCGGCGTCACAGGGTACATTCTGTCTTGGGTGTAGACGGGTTTCCCTACAAATTCCGATAAATTGTTGGTGTCGACAGGCACAAACGCGTTTTCCTCTTTCACCACTTTGAAAGCGACTTTTCTGACAACCTAAATCAATAAACCAAAAATTACTTTATTTTAATTAATTTTTTTAATATACTAAACTTTTTTATTAATTTTATAAAGAAAATTAATTCTTTATTAAAAGTTATTTCTGTTTGTCAAAAAAAATTACCAAACAAATTTACTTTCTCATATTTTTATAAAACAAAAATAAAGACCAAATACAAGATGACAAAAATCGAATCTGTGAACCAAAAAACATACCCTTGAGAATTTACCCCTAAATTTATTTTTATTATTTAGACGGAGCTATAAATTAACAGTTTATAAAATAAATTTCCTAAAACAGGAAATTCTTTTCAATTTTTATTTAAAAAACCTACCACTAATGCATATCATAATTTGTGCTCATTTTTCCTTTTTTAATATATTGGTTACAATTCGTATTCGCTTTAGGCAAAGCTTACTGCGTCAAAACTAACGTAACATCGAAATTAAGAACTTTTTATCATTTTCCATAAAATTTAAATAAATTGAATGTGAAATGCCAGTTAAAAAAAATTGTTTTTATAAAAATGTAATTGTTTATAACTAAGATAATCTCAAAAAATCCCTATATTTAGTAGGGTGGAGCGAAATTTTTTTTTTCCTTAGCCTGGGGGTGGAATTTGTAGCCTATAAAAAAAGAAAATTTTTGAAAAAAAAAAATAAATTTTTACTTAACGTCTTGAGGTGGCCCACTGATTTTTTAAATTAAATTTAAGTTAAAATTCTTTTGAATAAAAAATTTTTTTTGGCTTGTAATCTTCAAATTTATCTAAAAATAAACAAATTTGATCGTGTTCAACTCGAAATTCGCTCTATTGCCTCAGAAAAGCATGTTACTATTTTGGAATTTTTTTTAAAAACAACAATAATGACCACAAATTTTTTTTTAAGTTCATAACTGTTAATTAGCAAGAAAGAGGACACTCCGCAGTTTCCGGAACACTTTTGAAATTATTTTTTTATTCAAAAGAATTTTAACTTAAATTTAATTTAAAAAATCAGTGGGCCACCTCAAGACGTTGAGTAAAAAATTTTTTTTTTATTTTAAAAACTTTCTTTTTTTATAGGCTACAAATTCCACCCCCAGGCTAAGGAAAAAAATTTTTTTTGTTTTTTTCGCTCCACCCTAATATTTAGGATATGTTTTTGAGGGTCACACAGATTCCATTTGTTTTATGATAAAAGAATGGTTTAAAGGTTAAAAATCATTATTAGAGCTTAATTTTTTAACAATAATTACCTATTCCTAAAATAAATCTTTAAATCCAATTAAAACCACTTTTTGTTGAGTTTTTATGTTAGTATGTATAAAAAAAATCTGAAATGGTAAAAAATCTAGACAAAATGTTTTTAATCCTTTTAAAAAATATACTACCTGCAACCTAAATAGTACACTCAATAATCTGTCAAAAAAAAAGCCGTTTTTTGCATAAATCGTTTGGAGCTAGTAAGAAAAGCTTAACCCCAACTTTACGGGATCCTAACCCCTGCAGATCAAGATAAAAGCTTATTTTATGTTTTTTTTATTTTATTTTTCTCGAAAACGGTGATTAGCTTAACAAAAAGTAAGTATGCAACTCGAATGTAAAGCCACTTTGCACGCAAGGTTATATAACTCGCCTCCGACTCGTTATAAAAGTTCTTCATACGTGCAAAAAAGTGTCTCTTTATATCCTTGTAGCTTAAATTACTATTTATCGCTTTTTGACCCCAAACATGTTTTTATCCGAAATCGGCAGTAAAGAAGTCAACAATCGGCAGTAAAGTAGAACTTTACTGCCGATTTAATGATGGTATTGTATGCAACATTTTAAGATGTGTCTACTGCTCCTCAGCAGCAACTAAATTATATTTAAAAAAAAGCACCGTCGCGTAGGTCGATTGGACCCTTTCATAAAGTGTTGTTTAATAAAAATAATAAATTAATTTTATAAATTAGATTAAAAAATCGCCGCCGCGGGCAAATATATAATAACCGTCGCAACAAACAGTTTACGTAGACACTTCCTACATTCAAATGACATTTGATTTAATCATCAATATTAATTATAATTATTAATATTATTAAATGCGATTTCGGATAAAATTTAATATGCACCTCGGCATTAAAGTCATTTTTTATCACTCAGGAGGTTATTTGCCTCGGCTTTCGCCTAATAATTTCCACATTCGTGATAAAACATACAACTTTACTGCCTTGATACATAAATAATTATTTTTCCAATATCATTGTCAAAAAGTCGTTTTTTTACATTTAAGTGTCAAAAGTAGATCATTTGACAATGCAATTAAATCAGCAAATAAGTTATAGTATATTATGAATAAAGTTCGATAAACGTCATTTTAGTCACGAATTTAATTTAGGCACGAGCAAGCTTGCGAGCGAGTGCTTAATTAAACGAGTTGAATACTATATTTTTTCTACGACAAATACTTAATATTATCTAAAAAATTATTTAAATTAAATATTTGCTAAAGTGACATCTTTCCGAAAATAAATTAAACATCCCAATAAAGTTACGCGTTTCTTCTAGTTTTTTTTGTCACATAATTTGGAATGTTTTCTTTCATCAGATTTAACGCGAAAAGAACATATTTATTTTTTCACCCTCAGTATCGGTTGTACTAAATTAATATCACTATAATAGTTCGAATTACTAACATTGAGTACGCCCCCTATATTACCTAATTTTGGGCTGATTTCAAAAATGCCACTCGTTTTGCTTTAGGATTCTAAATAATTGCGTAATAAAATGCTCTGCCCGTTTATCTCAAAATGAAAGTTTTTCGTTAAAATTTTGATTATTTATTAAATTATTTTGATTTAAATCTATTTTGGATGTTCAGTATATTTTTAACGTTTATTGTAAAAAATATACAGGCTCCATACAAAGTCACCGGTAGATAAATGTCAAATAGAAAATTTTTTTGTTCCATATTTAATAAAGCACTTTTCTGCAGAGAAGTGCTTTATTAAAAACAAAACTAAAATTATAATGTTTTTTTTTTGGTAAAAAGTATCATTTTTTGACATTTTTGTGTCGTTTTTTTAATTACTAATTAAATTGAAAAGGCAACAAAGTAAACGGGTTTCGGTATAAACATTACTCTTCGACTATTATTTGATATTGTTTTATTCACATCATGCCTAAAGTATCCAAAAATTTAATCTCCAATTTTATTTATTAAAATTTAATATCGAATTGAAGTATACTTCATATATTAAGGTGCCTTTATCTACTTTATTGTTCAAGCACATTAAAGTGCACGCACAATGTGCATCTATTCATTTTCGACATTTAAAATTTAAACTTTAAATTGTATTTTTACTTGAAAGTGATTTTAAGAACCAAAAATGAAAATAGAGCAGGAAATGGAAGTGGCAGAGAAAGAGAAAGGAGACGAACCTTTATGTCGTTGTTGTAAATTTGTTTTGTTTATGTCGCAGTCTCTTTACGCCCAAGAAAAACCAACGCAATATTTCATTACAAAATTTTATATACCTACTAATTTACTTTGCAGGAATATTAATTGGACCTAATATACGATGTTTAATGAAAGATGAAGCATTCAAAAATGCTCTCAAAGTTGACGAGCTTTTCGCATATTGCAGTGTTAAAGCTGTCATTGAAAATTTTATTGGTTCATAGCGGGCCTAAAATTGGCGCCAATTCATTGAAAAAATGCTTTCCGTTTTGCAAAGAATTAGCGTTAATATTTTATTTAAAATACATTTTCTTTTTTTTCTTCCTGATAAATTTGCCAAACTGATGAACATGGAGAACGATTTCACCAAGTAACTGCAAATCTAGAGCATTTGTAGATATCTATGGGTATAGCGGAAAGAAGTTGGATTCATTGCTAGGAGACGTGCTGGAATTTGAAGCAAAAGATGTACGACGATGATGAGGATTAAGCACAATAATACTATAATTCAATTCGATATTTAATACGATTTAATAAATTTAAAGTAGAAAAAAGCAAAATTATGCAATGCATTTAATTTTGTGGGCTTAATTTGGATAAAAAATACCGAAACTGGTTTACTTTGTTGCCCTTTTAATTCAATAATCAAAATAAACGACAAAAAATAATGGTTGTTTTTTTACATAAAATACATTAAAATGTCATATTGTTAAGTTAAATATGATCTATTTGACGTATACCAATTACTTCAGTACATTCATGATAAATTTAAGCCAAAATAATGTAATAAATAATTAAAATACTAACAAAAAACTTACATTTTGAGGTGATTGAGCAAAGCATTTTATTACGAAATTATTTTAAATTCTAGACGTCCTAGAGAAAAAGTAATGACATTTTTGAAATCAGCGTGTAAAGTTAATTTTTTTTATCTGGACTGCGGCAAATTTAGGGTTTTAGTTGGTAAATAAAGTTGTCAAGTTGGTCGCAATGATTAAAACAAACTAAGCTAGTTATAAATCTAATTGTGGTTATGTATAAATTATTGTAGGTTACATTGTGCAGTTGTCAAATTGAGTTGTCGAAATTCGTAGTTAAAAATGCAATTAATTTGGCTTTGGTGGTGCTTGGATGAGTAAAATCATATAAAAAAAAAGTTAAATATAGGTTGCTTTACGGCCCAGAAGAGAAAGTATTCCTAGCGGATAATAATCTTCACTTTGAAAAGAATTTATATAAAGGAAATTAAAATTTTTTGTGAACGTAAATGTTGTACAATGGTGAATAATGTGAAAATAATGTGTGATGTAATATTTATAAAACCAAATTCGTTACTTTTTTACTCCAAAAATGTCCATAAGGCGATGTACTTTTTCTTCCGTTGTGGCATTTGGCATAATTTCATCTAAAGTTTTGCCCTCAAAAGGGCTTTTACATTCGAATTCGTTGTTATTATTTTTGGCATAATTATCTTTTTATTTATAATTGACAAGTAAATTATCAATAATAAATATTATTGTCAATTTGACAGTGTCAAAGTATTTAATTAAATCTTTAGCAGAAGTACCATTTTTAAATTCTAAAAATACTAAGTCAAACTGGCATAAGCCACCAACCTAACAAAAAAACAGTCCAGATAAAAAAAATGAACTGTATATTAGACTGGGCCAAAAAAATCAACTATTTTTTTTTGAAAAGTATATCGAAAATATGGACAAAAAAAAATATTGTGAAAGTTTGAGTCCATAATATTAATATTAAGATGTCTATCATCGCAATTTTAATTTTTTTTTCCTCAGCAAGTTTTAGGCTCAGAACTCCCAAACCATTGAGTTTAACAAAATTGACTTAAAAATATTTTTTTAAGAAAATTAAATGCTCTACAAAAAAGGTTAAAGTGAAATTTTCCGTCAGATGAACCGTTTCCTTAAAATCATGCCTTAAAAATTGGTATAGTTTTACATTTTGATCTTTTAAATTGGAATTTTGTAATTCATGTAAAAATCAGTACCCATAAAAAACCGATAAATATTCTTATGGAAAATCAAATCCTTTACAAATAAAGCCTCTTAACATTTTTGGCTAAATTCACTCAATCAAAAGTTATTCAAGGTTAAAATTTCGTTTTGACTTCAAATTTAACCTTGAATAACTTTTGATGGAGAGAATTTAGCCAAAAATGATAAAAGACTTTTTTTGTAGAGCATTTATTTCCCATAAGAATATTTATCGTTTTTTTTTTCAGGGTACTAATTTTTACTTGAATTACAAAATTCCAAAGTTAAAAGATCAAATTGTAAAACTATTCCAATTTTTAAGGCATGATTGTAAGAAAAGGGTTCATCTGACGGGAAATTCCAATCAAACTTTTTTTGTACAGCATTTAATTTTCTTAAAAAGATATTTTTAAGTCAAGTTTGTTAAACTCAATGATTTGGGAGTTCTGAGACAAAAATTCGCTCAGGAAAAAAAAATCTAAAATTGCGATGATAGACCTCTTAATATTAATATTATGGACTCAAACTTTCACCATAATTTTTTTTTGTCACCCCAAACAATATTTTCGATATACTTTCCAAAAAAAAATAGTCGATTTTTTTGGCCCAGTCTACTGTATATGGGGCAAAATTTGCCAAGTGTACCAGGTGAAAAAAATTTTGTCACCGATTTTGTTTAAACTTTACTTATTTGTTGTTCTTATAACGAAGAATCATGGCATAAAATTTTTTTGCTCTAGGATTGTTCATTCAAGAGTTATGGATTATTGAAATTTATCGATTTTTTACTTTTTGGTGAAATCGCTTTTTATTTAAAAATTCATAACTTCTGTTCATCTCTTTATTAAATATTTCAATTTCACCACCTTAAATGATTTTTTCCGTACTTTTTAATGAGCTATACCGTTTTTGCAAAAAAATAAAAATTGCAATTTTTTTTTGAAATTTTGCAAAATTTTGCATTTTTTGAAACAATGTGTATTTTTTAATTTTTTTTTAAATAGCATAAAATCCAAGTTTATTATGTTACCTTTGAATAAAAAAAAAATTTAGAGTGGGCCCGACATGTAGAAGGGAAGTTTTTCATATTTGAATGCCGCACGGTCTAGCCATCGAATAGCTACTACACTGCCGTATGCGTTTATACCCAGTAGATGCGAGTAAACGAATACAAAATGATAATTTAAAATGTAAAATTATGTTTGAGTAGTCAATGATGTATTTTAAATATTTACACTGCCGCACGATATAGTTTTTAACTGTATTTTTTTTGCACAAATTGTTTAAGCATGGGTCTACATAGAGTGCGCAAGGAGGATCGATGATATTAAATAAAAAATGTATAGTTATAACCGTAACGGCTTGCCTGTAAGCTGAATGGCGCCTTTACGGTTATAACAATACATTTTTTATCTAATATCATCGACCCTCCTTGCGAAATCTATGTAGACCCATGCTTAAACAATTTGTGCAAAAAAATACAGTTTATATACAAAAGTGCTCTTTTAGTTCCACCCTTACTTCTTAAGAAGTCCCATAAGCCAACTTAATGGCTTGTGCGGGTTAGGGGTAGGAACGGACCGCGGGCTTAAAGTCCCTTCCGAAAGACTAATACACAATAAAAAAACTATATCGTGCGGCAGTATAAATATTTAAAATACATCATTGACTACTCAAACATAATTTTACATTTTAAATTATCATTTTGTATTCGTTTACTCGCATCTACTGGGTATAAACGCATACGGCAGTGTAGTAGCTATTCGATGGCTAGACCGTGCGGCATTCAAATATGAAAAACTTCCCTTCTACATGTCGGGCCCACTCTAAATTTTTTTTTATTCAAAGGTAACATAATAAACTTGGATTTTATGCTATTTTAAAAAAAATTAAAAAATACACATTGTTTCAAAAAATGCAAAATTTTGCAAAATTTCAAAAAAAAATTACAATTTTTATTTTTTTGCAAAAACGGTATAGCCCATTGAAAAGTACGGAAAAAATCATTTAAGGTGGTTAAATTGAAATATTTAATAAAGAGATGAACAGAAGTTATGAATTTTTAAATAAAAAGCGATTTCACCAAAAAGTAAAAAATCGATAAATTTCAATAATCCATAACTCTTGAATGAACAATCCTATAGCAAAAAAATTTTATGCTATGATTCTTCGTTATAAGAACAACAAATAAGTAAAGTTTAAACAAAATCGGTGACAAAAATTTTTTCACCTGGTACACTTGGCAAATTTTGCCCCATATAATAAAAACGTTACCTTTTCGATGTGTTTCTGCAAATTCCTCACGCCGCTCTCCCGGCAATAATTCTTGATCAGCACGGCCAAGGCGTCATCGGACACGCTGATGTTGTCCGGCTTGAGGCCGCTGTCCTTCATGGCCTGCGGCAGCAGATACTGCTTGGCGATGGCGAGCTTCTCGTGCGCCACGTAACCGGACATGTCGATCATCTCCATGCGGTCGCGGAGCGGCTCGGGGATCGTGTCCACCACGTTGGCCGTGCAGATGAACAGGACCTTCGAGAGGTCGACGGGCACGTCGAGGTAGTGGTCGAGGAAGTTGTGGTTCTGCTCGGGGTCGAGCAGTTCGAGCAGGGCGGAGCTCGGGTCTCCAGCAAAACCCCTTTCAAATATTATTATTATTATTGTCTAGCTACACTGCGCGCCGAAATTAACGCATAATAAGTAAAAAAATTCTAACTCTAAATCGCCTTCACCAATCTTTATAAAATTTTGTATAAGAATACTTCAACTTAAATCTCAGTTTACGTGTTCGAGGGTTTTTCGAGAAAATATTTTTCAAGCCCTTTAATTTAATAATAAAAAAAAACGTTCAAAAAATACCTTTAGGGATTTGTTTTAAGTAAATAAAAAATATGCTGTTAAAGACCGTATTTTTGTTAGTATACACTGAAAATTTTGTACAAATCAAACGAAACCGTAACGAAGTCGGTAAAAATGACCCCTTTTTGATTATTTTGGTGAAAAGTGGTAATTTTTGACGAATACTTACAAAAATACGGTTTTTTGATAAGTTATTCTTGGTTAAAGTTAAAATTATCTAAAAATTGACTTTTTTCTACTTTCGCCTTTAAATCATATGAAAATGCCTTCAAAGCAAAAAATATTGCGAATGAGTGAAAATTTCAGGAAAAAAAAAACACCATTTCTCCGGAAAAAATCTCAGATTCTACAGATGGAACGGAAAAAATTCAAGTCATTTTCTACAAATTTCTCAAATTTTCCGTTTAAAATCTCCAAACAAAAAAAACCTTAATAAAATGTATTTTTCGGAAAAATTTTATTTAAAAAAGTTATGAACGGCCTTGCTAAAATAAACAAAAAAATACATTTTTAACTAAAAGAGAACTTTATTTTGACGACAAAACAGATTGTATGACAACTAACTTAAGCTAACTTCAGCCCGTGACTAAAACGCACATGTCATATCTCGTCATATTTTCCGGTAGAGGGCGTTATGAAATATAATTTTGTATTTAAAGAGTAGAATAATTATAATGAAATTAGTCCACAATCTTAAAACAGATTTTTTATTTTAACCTGTACCTATACAGGGTGAGTTTTAAGTTGGCGCATTCCTTTTAACAGCGTGTAGAAATCAGATAAACAAATAAATATTTTAAGTAACTTTTTTATCAAAACTCAAAAATAAGAGAGTTATAGGCCTTCCAAGTTTAATTAAATTTTGAGCCGGTCCTGGCTATTGTTAACAAAAAACATAACCCTAAAAATAAAAATAACAAAATAAACAATGCAAAATGTCATCTATGACAACAAACAAACCATTTAAATCAAAATGACATTTAGCAATGAAAAATGTCAGTTTTTTTGTGCCTCTATTATTGTTAAAAATGGTTCATAATTATAGCAATATTGAATTAGTGGAAATGTTACTAATTTATGGAGAGTCTCGTCAAAATGCAAATGCTGCAACTTAAGTAAATAATGACATTTTTTATTGCAAAATGTCAATTTGATTTAAATGGTTGTTTGTTGTCAAATATGACATTTTGCATTGTTTATTTTGATATTTTTATGGTTATCTCGTTAACAATAGCCAGGACCAGCTTAAAATTTAATTAAACTTTGATGCTATAACTTTTTTATTTTTGAGTTTTGATAAAAAAGTTACTTAAAATATTTATTTGTCTAGCTGATTTCTACGCACTGTTAAAAGGAACGCGTCAACTTAAAACTCACCCTGTATATTAATCACAAAAGAAATATTTTAAATTTTTATTTATATTATATTATATTAGAAAAAGTGAATTAATTCCAGACCAGGTTTTTTATTATTTTTTTTAAAAGTTTACCAAATATAGACAGAACAAAAAAATATGAAAAAAGGCTAAAAAAATGCATGAATCGTAAAAAAAATTAAAATTAATAAATTAAATCATTTTACACTTACTTTCCGATTTTATCGACTTCATCTATAAGTATCAAAGGATTTTCAGTCTTGGTTTTCTTAAAACACTGTATAACTTTTCCGGGCATTGCTCCCACATAAGTTCTTCTGTGACCTTTAATTTCAGCCACATCAGTCATACCACCAACAGAAAATCTAAAGTACTCCCTGTTAAGTGCTTTGGCAATGGAACGAGCTAAAAAAATATCCAAGTTTAAAAAACAATATATCCTGTAATAAAACATACTTAAAAGCATTGTTGGGCATAAATCAATCAATTCAATAATTGATTTAAAAAGTAATTGCAATTAGTTGAATTGCAATCAACATTAATCGCAATTAATTGATAATTGCACTTTCCAATTAATTTAATTAGATAAAGATATATTTATTGCAACATGCAATTAAATTAATCACAATTAATCATTATATAAAACTAATAACAATTGTTACTTATTAACCTGTCCGTTGTAAGTTTTATCAAACTGCATGGTGCCATAATAGTATATTATGTATCAAGTTTAATAAACGCCATTTTATACACGAATTTAATTTAGGCACGAGCGAGCTTGCGAGCGAGTGCTTAAATAAATGAGTGTATAGAAAAGTTTATAAACGAGGTGCATACTATACTTTTTCTACGACAAATACTTATTATTATCTTAAAATGATTTAAATCAAAAATTTGTATAGAGCGCCATCTAACAATGGGGAAATCTGTGTGTCACCGTCAAATGTCAAATTTTTATATTTAATAAACACATTATAAAGGTTATAAATCGAAATGTATTTCTTGAAAATTGACAGTTTTTCACAGTGAAAGTAAAGAAAATGTTTTATGAGCACTTTACAGTGGAGTTCGTGCCCTAATTTAAGTTATAGTTTACTGCCGGCGAAATTAAAAGGTCAGTACAATGTTCATATAAACTTTTCAAATATTGGCGTTGAGAAACTATTTAATACTTTTGTATTTTTGTATTGAGATAATAAAAGTTATTTATATACATGTCAATGACATGACGTCATAACGAATACATTTAAATAGGTGTGGCGACTAGTAGAGCCACCTGTCGGCCGCTGATCATAACTTCCAAAATGCTAACTAACTACCTTTTATCGGCATCTGTCATTTTGACAGTTGTCATTTAGCACCTGCTATTTGGACATCTGTAACTATGACAGCTGTCAAAATGACAGCTGTCATAGTTACAGCTGTCATAGTTACAGCTGTCATTTTTACAGCTGTCATTTTGACAGCTGTCAACACGACAGGTTCCTTAACGACATTTGTCACTATCACGGTCTTATATACAGGTCCTGCAACTTCGCCCAATTTCAATAGAAAAAGTGACCTCTCTAATGAGACACCCACCAGATGGCGCATCGAGTTGGGTGGTAAACCATAGATGTTTAAAGGTCGTTTTTACCTTCTTTATCTTTGGGTTTTACAATCGTTAGATAAGCTCTCTGGTGGATAATTTTCTTGGATAGAAGGTTTCTATGAAAGTTATCCGCCAAATAAGCTAACTTAATCTAACGATTGTAAAACTGGCTCTAAGTCCTTAAAGTCTATGGGATAAAAGTCAAATGAACTACATACTTATGTTCACAGCTGTGTTAAGAAACATAACCTACATTTTTATAAACAAGCTTGTGTGTTTTGTTACAGGGAGTTTTTACTTATTGTTATTGTGATATTCGTTATTGTTATATTATATTGTTCTATTTTTTCTTGTTATATTTGTTCTTGTTATATTTGTTCTTGTTATATTTGTTTTTGTTATATTTGTTCTTGTTATACATTTGTATTTGTGCTTTTTAATAGACATGAAGTCCTGTGTTGTGCCAAAATGTAACCAGCAAAGCCATCGTTCCGGCATTAAAATTAAGCGGTCCATGTTTAAAGTGCCAACAAATAAGGAGCAGTTAAAAACATGGCAATGTGCAATAAAAAACATACTATTGAAACCTTCACATTTTGTATGATTAATTTATAATTAAGCACATCGTGTTGGTGAAATATATATTATTTTAAATAAACAATCAACCCATCCCCGCCAAGACAATAAAAAAATCGGTTATTAATAAATTAGCCAGAATATTGGTTGGTTAGTTTGTAAACTATCTAAAGCTTGGCTATGTTGTGTTACTAGAAATTTTGGTTTTCATATTAGCCAAATTGAATTGGATAGTTTACAAATTATCCAGCCATTCCTAAATAACTTCAAGTAAATTAGCCAAGACCCTTGGTTGGTTTACAAACTAGCCGCTAATTTAGTTAAAAATACGTTTTCAATTAAAATAGCTGACAGTTTGGCTACTTTATAAACTACCCAGCCACTTAATAAACTATCCATGTTTACACATTAGCCGTAACATATATATGATATACGTATGTATTTTATACATTAACATGTTTGGTCTGGGCATGTGACGGCCGAGGACTTTGTGCATAGAGTATAGACTTTGTTGTCCTATTTTGTTAACGTAAATTATCCGAAACAAACTCACAAATATTAAATTTTTGAAAATGTAAACAAAACATAGAAAAAGAATTTAAAAAGTTAGGTTATGGTTATGCAGTAGTTCCACATTTAACTAAGTAGTAGTTTAATTGACTTTACCCCTTCGATCTTAGCGCCACCTAGCGGCTTGGCACGTTAAGGAAGCCATCTCGAAGCTTAAAGTTGCAGGACCTGTATATAAGACCGTGGTCACTATGACAGCTGACATTTCTATAGTTTTGACAGCTGTCATTTAGGCAGCAGTTAAATGATTTTTTCTACTCCCACCTTTAAAACGCCCTTTATCGTACATGTTTCCATGACACTAAGTAATCTTTTAAATACACATTGACAAGTTGTGGCTTTTCGGCGCTTTAGTCACGGGCTGAAGTTAGCAACAGGTTTTTAGTCACGGGCTGAAGTTAGTTTTAAGTTAATTGACAGTTGTCAAATGTCATACAATCGTTAAAATAAAGTGCCTTTCTTGTAAAATAATACTAAATGTGAAAATTATTTTATCATCTCAATAGAAAAATATTAAATAGTTTCTTAACGCCAATATTTGAAAAATTGATCTTTTAATTTCGGCGGCAGTAAACTATAAGTTAAATTCGGGCACGGACTCCACTGTAAAGTCCTTATAAAACATTTCCTTTACTTTCACTGTGAAAAAGTGTCAATTTTCAAGATACATTTCGATTTATAACCTTTATAATTGTGTTTATAAAATGAAAAAATGTGAATCTGAATGTGACATTTCAGTTTTGTGTTGTCTGCTGAAGCAGACAGGTCGTAGACGGCCTTCCTTAAGAAGACAACATGGGACTCCCAGTACAAAAATACACTGGTCAGTACCATTTATACAAATCTACAATAGATTAATTTGATTCCTGAATAATTTCCACGATGGATGGTCAAAATAATTAAAGATAATATGTGCATAGAGCCATTCGCCATGGTGCATGGTTGGAATGGACTACAAAATGAAGGTTAAACAATAAAAAATGTATACATAAAAACAAATTGGTATGAAATATTTAATGGTTAAATTATATGGATGATTGTAAAAGTGTAATGTTATGTATGATGATAAGTAATTTTGGACAATGTTAAATGTATTGAAAAGAAACGAAGAAGGAAAATGGACATATTAATAAATAAACAAGAATATATCGAAAAATAAGTGTGAAAATTTTTTTTTTAAGTGATACAGTGGAATTTGTGAAAGAAATTAGACATAAATTAATATTAAAATGAACTATGAACAATAATAATTTAAAATAAATGATTTAAGGGATGAGTTGTACTCAGATTCTCTTAATTGAGACCCTTGAACATATATAAATATTCAAAAAACATAATGAGCTGGCCAAATAGTTTTTAAGTAAGCTAGAGGCCATTACCCTGAACACAGTGATCTGTGTTCAGTTTTAAGAAGAAGAAGAAGAATGTGACAGTTCCCCTGTTGTTCCATAGATGGCGCTCTATACAAACTTTTGATTTAAATCATTTTAAGATAATAATAAGTATTTGTCATAGAAAAAGAATAGTATGCACCTCGTTTATAAACTTTTCTATACACTCATTAACTTAAGCACTCGCTCGCAAGCTCGCTCGTGCCTAAATTAAATTCGTGTATAAATGGCGTTTATCAAACTTGATACATAATATACTATTAAACGCATAATTTTATAAAAATAAAAATTCCTGTAAAATATTTAATAATAAATTTTACAAAAAATTTTTAATTCTAATAAAAAACAAATAAAAATGCAATATTTTTAAAGTTTGTTTATAAAATATCTGACTTTTGTATGGTCTAAAAACGCAAAACACTAATAAATTGTGCTTGTAACTGTAAAAAAATATTTAATTTTTTGTCTCTCGCGAAAATGTGTAAAAATTTCGAAAATTCTTAAATCCTGTAGGAGTTTGAAGATATACTTAAAACACCAAGAAAAAGAAGAAATAAATAATGTTTACCTATGCTGGTTTTTCCCACACCAGGAGGACCATGAAAGCACAGGATTTTTCCCTGAGTAGAACCTTTCAACTGACTTACAGCGATAAACTCGAGGATTCTTCTTTTTATGTCTTCCATGCCGTAATGATCTTCTTCTAAAGTTTCCGAGGCACGTTGAATGTTCAAATTTTCTTGACTTTGAATGCCCCATGGCAAGGAAGTCAACCAGTCCAAATAATTTCGCGTCACACTAAAAAAGAAAGCGTAGAAAGATGGAGCACGCCTAACTTTATTGTTTTCTTACTTGAATTCTGAACTGTGTCCTTCCAAGAACGCCAATTTATTTAATTCCTCATCAATAACAGTTTTTACTGCAGCGGGAAGAACTTTATCCTTGATCCTTTCCCTGAATTTTTCCCCGATAGCGTCCTTGTCGTCTTTTTCCAGACCCAATTCTTTCTTAATTACTTTAAGTTGCTCCTGTAAGATGTACTTCCTGTGGTGTTGCTTTACTTTTTCCTCCACTTCCCGGCCGATTTTCTGCTGGAGTTTTGACAGTTCGTATTCTTTTTTCAGTAGCGAGAGGGAGAGCATCAAACGTTTTGGAATCTAAAGAACAAAAGTTCCTTTAGTAAGTAATAAATGAATAAAATGAAGATATTTGGAAGTAAAGTTTTTTAGAATGGAAAGGTATAAATGCTAATTAAAAAAAGGATTAAATAATGGAATAGAAGAATGGAAGAATTAATTTAAATTAACAGAGACTTAGCGGTACCAATTCTGAAGAACTGTTTTGCTAGCTAAAGTGTAAAATAAATAAAACATTGTTTTGTAACAAGTGTAGTGTAGTATTTAATACGAGCTGGATTTAATTATTTCTTAAAAAGTTAAAATCGTTTAATATAAAGAATATCCCGTCTAATGGTGAGGCTACCTAGCTCTTAATATAATAATAATAATAATAATAATAATAATAATAATAATAATAATAATAATAATAAGTTTATTGTGAAAAAAGTACATTTCACAATTGGAAAGAGTTCAGCTATGCTGATCTTCGACTCTCCCATGTATACAGGGTGTCCCGAAATTAGGGGGCCAAACTTAAACAGTGCATTCTTTATAGAAAAATAACATTTTTTTGTTTAATAAACATATATCAAAAATGCCCCCTAACGGTGCTACGCCCCCCTAAATAGGAGCTTAAGACCATAATTTTTTAAAAACTATTCCTAGAGGGTTGAATTTTTGGGACTTTGGTAATTTTGACATTCTGAATCTGTATCTATAATCAAAACTGTTAAAATTTAATCATAGGCGTAACATTTGAGGGGACAAATTTACAAAAACAGCCCCAACTTTTTGCAGAGTGAGTTTTTTAATGTTTAGTTATAAAATTATGAAAATGTATAGTTTTTCACGAGAAAATTGCAATTTAAATTACTATGATTAGCATAATTTCTAATATTTTCATTAAAAAGCTTTGGGACAAAAGTGACGTTTGGGTTATTTGCTGACTTTACATTTATTTTTATAGTTTAGTTAATATTTTTTGGCTCGATTTTTGTTATTTTTTATTATGGAGCGATTTTCCAAATTTTAACACAAAATTTTAACGAAAATATGAGATGTGTATGCTATGCAGAGTAATTTATAAATGGATTTTTCTCGAAAATGGTGCATCTGAGCGATTCAAATCAATTCAAGACTAACTATTTTTCGTAAAAAACTATAAGTTTTCATAATTTCATAAAAAAAATTAAAATGTTATCTCGGAAAAAAGTTGGGGCTATTTTTATAACTTTTCCCCCCTAAATGTTACGCCTATGATTAAATTTTAACAGTTTTGATCTTAGATCTTGATTCAGCATCTAAAAATTACCAAAGTGCCAAAATTTCATTTCATCATGTTTAACGCTCTAGGAATAGTTAAAAAAAAACTATTCTCTTAGGCTCCTATTCAGGGGGCCGTAGCTACGCGTAGCTCCGTTAGGGGGCATTTTTTGATACATGTTTATTTAACAAAAAAGTGTTACTTTTCTATGAAGAATGCACTGTTTAATAGAGATGTGACGAACCGTATGTATTCGGTACAAAGTAACGGGTACTGGATGAGGTTCGAAATACCGATTCGTTACTTTAAAATACGTCTCGTTACTCGCATCGTTTCGTTACTTGCGCCACTCACAATTTCGTCCGGTATCTACGTACTCTGCAGCGTTCGTTCGATTCGATACGATACGTACGGCCATGCGCCAGGCTGAAAAGAAATCTGGCAACACTGCGTACGCTCACAGCACTGTGCGTATCCTTTTTCTATGGTGCGTACGATGTGCATCATTTGTCTATGATGTGCATGATACACAAATATATCAGCTGATCCATAGTCTAGGTGATCTATGCCGCGCGTTGATTTAGGTATTGTTTATTTTAAAGAGTTCTTTGCAAAAAGAAAGGTTTTTATATGAGTCTTCAGTTTCTTTACTTTTCCTCACAAGGTAGGCGTATTTATGTTTTGTTCTTTATGTTACTTTAAGTATAAATTTAAATCTTATGTTATCTTATGTCAAAGTACAGTCAATGAAATAAATCATATTTATACGTTTACCGCTTATGTGTTAAAAAATAATAAATCTTTATAGTGGAGCATAGTACCTATTTAATGTGTAAAAAAAATATTGTATTGTAATTGTTCTACAGGGTGTAAATGTGACAAAATATTTTGTGTTGATTATATTGTTTTTATTTTTGCAATAAATTTTTTTTTATTAAGTTTTTATTTATAGTTATTATACCTACATCCTCCAATTTAATAAAATGTAATCAAAATTTATGTTTTCTAATTAAAGTATTATAGTAACGAAAGTAACGAGTAACGAATACTTTATAACGAATAGTTTATTAGTATTAGTTTTTTCGTAACTTTTACATCTCTACTGTTTAAGTTTGGCCCCCTAATTTCGGGACACCCTGTACAATACAATTGTATAAATCAATACAAATAACAAAACTTAAATACTTCCTAAACATTAGGCTTACTATTAATAATACGATTTTAACTAAACCAAAAAAAGGAAAAGAACAACAATTTCAAATGCAAGAAAAACAAAATGGTTTAAATAATTTAAGGTATTAGGTAAATTTTATATAGGTACCCAGCTGCACATTTCTTACATACATTTTACAAGCTTTTTTAAAATTAGGTTTTGATAAGCTTAAAAAACTGAACATTTTGTTTAAAATAGTGACAAGGGTTTTTAAACTTCTCCCGTGAATAAATAATTGTAGATCAGTTAATTTCAAACATAAATGGGTCATTTTCAAGAAACACCCGCTTTCAGGAAAATGAATATCAAAATATTTTTTTTGCCTAAATTGGTTGGATTTTTATAAATGTTTAGAGTTTTGTTTACTTACGTTTAAGACAGGCAGTGCACTTTTTCATTTTTTTCACGTTTTTTTCAGAAAAATGTGTTTAGCTATCTTAATATATCTTCACTGTGTTACCAATTTGAAATCCAAAATTTAATTCAATAAAAAAAGTTGTTATAAAAATAATTTGAAATAATATGTACTTAGATCACAAACTTTTGACTCCAATTTTTTATTTTATTTTTTATTAAAAATTGTATGCTTTTTTTAAATATGTATGTTCGTTTAGTTACTTTTTAAAAGAAACCATTCCGATTCTTTGTTAAAAAAACAATACCATTAATATTTTCTTTTAGTCACTGTATTAGTGAATTCAACTCTAATTTATAAACACGTATTACCAAGTGATAGTGTATAAAAATCATTTTAAGTATTTTTTTTAACAAAAACTAAAAAAAGTATCAAAATAGACATTGGTATCACAACGGACAGGGGTACACAAAGGACTTAATCAGATAACGTAAAAAAGAAACTATATAGGGTGGTACGATTTTAGAGTAATGCATAAACAAAATCCCTTGTAGTGGTGCTCACTTGCAGAATAACAACTTAGATTTCTAAATTGTAGACACCCTTTTTCTTTGACTATAAGCTGGTGAAGGTCCCTTTTAGTACTTTAATATTGCGTGGAAATTTTCCTTGGATGTAATCTATATCATGAGTTGTAATTACAAATAATTTTAAATTGGTTAATCATAAACTACTTTTAATAAAAGCGACGGTAAATATCCACTTTGTTGTCAAAAAATTCTATTGCGTTACCCTAAATTCCATTGCGTATATAAGGTAACATACATATTTAAAAAATAATAATAAGACATTATAGTCAAAGATAATACACTGTATTATCTTTGATTATAGTCATTAATTACTCTCAATGAGCTTTAGTGCCCTAAAATAAACATAAACATGAAAAATAGTATTTTTTCTTACCGTATTTTTATTATTTTTTTGAGTAACTTAGCGGACAAACAATTATTACATTCGCGTTACCCGCACCTGTTTCAACCGATATCTTCTTCCTGATTGAATAAATAAATTCAGCTGGGTAATGTGTACGTCCGAACATCATTTGTTGATCACGTGAGTACCAAAAAAGTTGTCATATATATGTTTTTTTAATATTCTATCGGTAACGCAACGGACGTAACGCAACGGAAAAAATGTTTGGGACATGAGTCAAATTTAAAAAAAGTAGATAAAATTAATTATTTTATATATAAATTGTTTACTGTATTAACTACGGATGTTATGGATTGCTATAAAGCAACACAAAGTTCTGGTTATTCAATATTAAAAAAAAACATGTATGTAAATTTAATAAAACGCTAATGGGACATGCGAAAATGTGTGTTTCACAAGTTTCAAAATTAAAAAAAAAATATTCTGAAATAACTAAACAAAAATTTTCTGAAAGAGTTTACTAAGGGCTTGTTAGGCTTTCACTTGGTTTTTAAATCAATAAGATCCGATAATTTTTAACAAAGTTATTGGAATTCAAACTTACAGACAGCGGAAGGCGGGTGTTTTTTGAAAACGACCCAAATACGTACCACTTATTTAAAAATACTAACCATTCTGCAAGTTATAAAAAATGTTTTAAACTTTGCAAAAAAAAATATAGAATATATTTTTTGAAGAGCCCTATCAAAATTTTACGATATTAATATTAAAAGTAGGTTTTCTAGGGTTATCTTACCTCGACTTCTTCTAAAACTTCTTGGAGTTCTTTTCCTTCAGCAGCTGTCAAAGCAGCCCCCAAGTCACTCAGATAAACCGGATTATCTACGACCCTTTGCCCCTGATGCATCATCTGTTGCAAACTGTCCCTGTACAGCGGATTCAGGCTGATAATGTCCCGAATCGTCTTGATAACTTCCTGAGTCAAAGCTTTTACCTCCTCGGTCTGTCTGAACTTGTTGTGCACTACATTTTCCACTTCGGCCATCAAAAATACGTCCTTGGGGGGTTCTTTTTCGGCGGTTTCGGCGCCGGGAGCGGTTTCGGCCGCCGCCTCCACCTGAGGTTTCGCTTCGATCGGGTTTTTTTTCAGACGGTTCTTGTGACGGTTGTTTCTTCTGCGCTTGTCCGCGTCCGTGTCGTCTACAAATACGTTCATTGTTGTTTTAAAAAGTGGAAACTGCAGTTTTATTTCTACAGCAAATAAACGATGTGTCAAACACACGAAATAAAAAAAACATACAAAACATTAACAAAATGCACTAAAAAATTATTTACTTCTATAATAACTTGTTTTAAGGAAAACATAAAATAAACTGCGCACCACTCAATGTGTCGCGACCAAAAAGTTCGTTCTTTTTCAAAACGACATAACTTTTTTGTTTCTTGAACGATTTAATTTTGGTGTGTGATGTCTGCTAGCCTCATCCTCTGGCAATTTATGCTATAGATATGAAGCTCACGGTTGGTCAAGTAAATTTCCTACAAGGTGATATGTTAAACAGTGAAAAATTTCAATAACTTTATCCAAGCCCCGTTTGTAAAAAAAATATTTTGTTTTTCGTTTTTACTTTGAAATAATGAAGTATTATGTGTTACCTTGAAACATTTTTCAAATTTTTCGAATTGGAATCTTGGCAACGAAAATATGATTTTTTTTCCAAAAGAGTACATTTAAGGCTTTTTTTAGGCAATACACTTAGTCCTTTTAGGAACAAGAAGATAAGATGGTAAAAGATTGTTCCTTAAATAATTCTGAACAAGCGACAAGCAACAAACTTCCATTATTTTCAGAGGGCCCAAGCTAAGACCAGTTTTTGAAAATGACATTTTTGTGAAAGTTTGCAGAAACTAAACCTAAACCGATATTTACTTTCGTAAAATGTTTTCTTCATAATTTTGACCTCCTGGTTGTGATTCAGATGTCAAATTTAAGTTTCAGATAAAACCAAAATCACTACGAATCAAGATTCGAAAACAATTCCCGGCTGTTAAATGTGTCAATAAAATCCGATTGCTGGTTTTTACTGTTTTTTTACATATCATAAATGAGTATTTAAGGGACCACCATATTGAGAAAATTAATTGGCCACCTTTGTCTCCGGATATGAATCCTATTGAGCATGTGTGGAGCAGGATAAAATTGAAGATAAAAGAGAGGGAAGGAGGCATGGAAAATTTGGATGAATTGGTAAATGCTATTCATAAAGAATGGGGTATCCCAGACATTTCTAAGGAACTTGGTTGAGGGAATTATTACGGCTTATGGGAGGGCCAACAAAATATTGAAAGGTATTATTGTTATTGTTTGTTACATTTTTCTGTTAAAGTTTTGATTATGATTATATCTACGCATACAATTTTCAAAAATGAACAAAAATATTTTTATTTAACTTTATTATAAATTAGGTAGGTACTTATCAATGATGTTATCACTACTGCGCAATGTAAATGTAAGTTATGTAACATTATCCTAACCACTCAAACAAATTGCAGTAATTTCGCCGAAAAAATGAATCCCCAAATGGCATTTTCATCATAAATATGCAAGAAACACGACAGTAATCGGATTTTATTAAGACATTTAACAACAGGGAATTGTTTTCGAACTTTGATTTTTGATGATTTTGGTTTTATCTGAAACTTAAATTTGACAACTGAATCACAATCAGGAGGTCAAAATTATAAAGAAAACATGTCACGAACGTAAATATCGGTTGAGGTTTAGTTTTCGCAAATTTTCACCAAAATGTCATTTTGAAAAAGTGGTCTTTGCTTAGGCCCCTCTGAAAATAATGGAAGTTTGTTGCTTGTCGCTTGTTCAAAATTATTCAAGGAACAATCTTTTACCATCTTATTTTCTTGTTCTTAAAAACACTGAATATACTGCCTACCAAAAAGCCTTCAATGTACTCTTTTGAAAAAAAAATCATATTTTCGTTGCTAAGATTCCAATTCGAAAAAATTTAAAAAAAAGTTTCAAGGTAACACATAATACTTCATTATTTCAAAGTAAAAACGAAAAAAAAATTATTGTTTTACAAACGGGGCTTGGATGAAGTTATTGAAATTTTTCACCGTTTTACATATCACCCTGTAGGAAATTTACTTGAAGAACAGTATGCTTAATATCTATAGCATGAATTGCCAGAGGATGGGGTAAGCAGACATCACAGACCAAAATAAAATCGTTCAAGAAACAAAAAAGTTATGTCCTTTTGAAAAAGGACGAACTTTTTGGTCGCGACACATTGAGTGGTGCGCAGTTTATATGCAATTTCAACACCATGTATAACTCTTGAGTTTTCGATATAAGTTTATTAAGAAAATTAATATTATTTTAACGTTTTTTATTGATTCTCAAATTTTTAAAGAATTCTTTTGGACCACCCTGTAAAAACAGTAAAAAAAAACACTTTAAAAAAGTTTCAAAAACTTGACAACGATGTTTGTCTGAAAAGCCAAAATATTACAACTCTACAAACAATTTTTGTTTTAAATATAGAAGTTTAAAAAAATATAATATAAAAGATTGCATTGTCAATGAGAAAAATTTAATTAAATATATAAAAAATAATAATAATTAACATAACAATTTTTTCAATAAGTAGTTTTCTGGTCATTAAGCATTATAGTTTAAAAAACTCAAATTAAAATATTTTCAGGGCTCCCACGGCTAAATTACAAATTTTATTTAGTAAGGTTTTTTGGAGAATTTTAGGAGAAATAAATTATGCAAATGAATTTCTGTAATTAAATAAAAACAACTCTACACTGTACTTAAAAAATAAAAAAATCTTTAAAAAAAATATAAATAAATATTACTATATTGTACAAATAAGTCACATTGACTAGTTTTTTAGCCAAATCGCTCGACGAGTTTTTTTTTAAATAAAATTTAAGTGAGGTAAAATTACTAATTTTAGAAATTTCACCATATTTTTACTTTTGTTTTAAAAAACGCGTCGTTAGATTTGACTAAATACTAAGCCAAAGTCAAATAATGTTATATGTATACAAGGTGTCCCTAAACTTAGTGGCATAAATTTGGGAGCAGATTAAGCAAGTCAAAATAAGACGAAAATCTAAATAAATATTTTTCCTAATTAGGTATGTTTAAAAGATACAGGGTGATAAAGTTTACTTATCATATCAGTTTTTTTAATATAACTTCCACTATGGTAGACGTGGAAAGGTGATATTTTGAGAACAGTCACTTACTACCAAAATACATATTCACACATAATAACAATTGTTCGAGTGAACGCAGTGTCGTAGAAACAGGGGTTGCTTAAGCTTATTGTCCCATACAAACTTTAAGGTTAGGTTTTTATACCATTTGATGCATTTTTTTGATTACTCAGTTCGTCAACTATTAAAAAGGTATACCTCTCAAACTTCGATAAAATAAACCGTTTCCGAGATATCCGAGATTACAATAATTGTTATATCGCATTAAAGGACTAAAAGGTATATGATAACAAATTTTTTAATTGAAAAAACTACAATTTTTTTAATGTGACGGTCAGGGCAAAAAGTCTCGAGGCTCATGGAATGCCGTTTTTTAGTTTTTTCAATTAAAAAATAAAATTTGTTATCATATACCTTTTAAATAATGCGATATAACAATTATTATAATCTCGAATATCTCGGAAACGGTTTATTTTATCGAAGTTTGAGAGGTACACCTTTTTAATGGTAGACGAACTGTGTAATCGAAAAATTGTATCAAATGTTATAAAAACCTAACCTCAAAGTTTGTATGGGACAATAAGCTTAAAGCAACCCCCGTTTCTACGACACTGTGTTCACTCAAACAATTGAAATTATGTGTGAATATGTGTTTTGGTAGTAAGTGACTGTTCGCAAAATATCACGTTTCCAAGACTACCAGAGTAGAAGTTATATTAAAAAAACTGATATGATAGGTAACACTTTATCACCCTGTATCTTGGAAACATAAGTAATTAGGAAAAATATTTATTTAGGTTTTCGTCTTATTTTGACTTGCTTAATCTGCTCCTAAATTTATGCCACTAAGTTTAGGGACACCTTGTATATTGATAAAAAAAAAGTTAACCGTTTAGTTAATAACTAAGAATAATTGTAATGTGGATCTTGATACTCAAAAATCCCATACTTAATAGAAAAATTATAAAGTTTGCATAATACAGCAAAACATTCTTTAGATTGTTTTCTTGTTTAGCTATCATTTAAAAGAAAATTAAAAATCCATTTATTTGATATATAACACGGTATATTTTGTCGAAAACAAATGAAATATGGCTAAAAATGACAATTTTGTAGAAGTCTATGATTATGTTTTTTAGGTATATTTTGTTGTTTTTTAAGAAAAATGTAGGTTGTGAATATTATTTTAAAAAGAATTTAATAAACTAGAACCAAAAATATATATTTTTTTAATTACGTAAACAACTACCTTAATTAAACTCAGTTAGGTTGGTCTATTTATATTTTTATAGTTTTAGGAGATTGATGGCAATTTTAGGAGAATTTAACGAGTTTTCAAGATTTTAGCCAACTTATAGGAATTTTATGAGTTTTATGTGTGGGTGCCCTGTATCTTTATTTGTTTGGTATGACATATTGCCATACCCAGAACCCCCTCCCACCCATGTTAGAATTTGTCACAAAGGGTTGGGTGACATACTTTTTGGATGGCCCTTAATAATTTTTTTAAAATTTTTATCATATTAATTTTGCTTTAAGTAATTTTGTCTGACCATTTTTTAATGCATTTTGTTAATATATAACTTATTTATAATATAAAATATCCATTTCTACTGTTTAAAATTAAATTTTATACAGTATTTTTAACTATAATTTTTATCGAAATATAATTTGATGCATGACATATATCATATACATATATGTAAACAAAATAAAAAATTCGCTATTTCCTTATTCAAATGAACCTTATCTAAGTTTTGATATGTACATAATATATTGTTTTTGCAAATAGGTAAAAACAAATAAATTTACCTTTAATTTTGTCTTCGTTTTCAATAATCTGTCCAGTAATTTTAATTCTTCTATGAGCCATCACAACCAACCTCAACCTATCGCCCAAATCTTGCATTTCATGGATTTGGGCGAACACACCAACGTTGTAAACATCATCAGGATTTTTGACAACCTCAGACTCATTTTCTTCTTGCTTTTTCAAAAATATGCCGCAGTAAGGCTGGTTGAGTTTCACCTTTCTTCTGATTAACTCAATAAGTTGAGGATTAGTTAGCTAAAAGAATAATTAGCTTATATGTTGTAACATTATGATTAAGTTTTTTTTACCTCAATAAGTTTGATAAATCTGGGGAATACAATGTTTTTGCTAATTGCAATTACGGGAACATGGGGCCAAACTTCAGGAACAGTCATGGTAGCTGGTAGTTGTGGATTAAACTGTTCATCGGTTCGATGTCCATCGTCATTTTCGCTTTTTGTAGTGTAAAATCTAGCACCAGTTAAAAATTTTGTATTGAGACAAGTCCGTTTTAGTGCATTGTTAACGTGCGTGTTTCTTAAAATGCCGTGGAAATTCTGGTCAGAAGTCCTTCGTATTAAATTACTGCGATTTGAGGTTAATTGGGTATTTACACGTGTAGAAAGCCGGCATATTTGACTTAGCGATTTGGAGGTCGATGAAATTGCACAAGAACTTTTCACTACTTTTAATAAATGCATGCTTAATATCGTTCCAGCACACCAATTTTTAAGTATTCATTTCAAAAAAGGAACTTGTCATAAGTCAAATGTTATTGTCAATACCAACGTTACGAAATCAAATTTCCCCGTCAGTTGGTTCCATAGAAAAAGAAATACGAGAATGTTCCGGAAAAACGCGATTATGAAACATATTTTGTTTCTATCATAGATGTCTATGATTTCTACCTTATGTTCAGGGTGGTTTCTACTAATAAACAGCCTGTTTATTAGTAGAAACCAGGAGATGTCAGCATATAATTTTATCCAGTACCAGTCACTTTGATAAATAAATTAAATTTAATAAAGAAGCAAGAACAAAAATTTAAAAAAAAAAAATTTACGACCATTTCAAGCATACGGACGGGAAAAATCACCATAAAAAAATTATATTATTATTATAATTAATTTAATTTATTATATATTATTTTTGCATCAAAATTGTCAAATATACCTATTCTTCTTTTATTAGGCTATACCTGCAGGGTGGATATTTGTTAAAGAGATCTGGCAACCCTGATTCAATAAAAAAAATCGTATGAAATCAACATGGGTTATTAGAACTACATAATAAAATAAACATGGTAGTTCTAATAACCCATAAATCATGGCTTCTTAGAACTACTGTCACACGTGCGAAATTTGAAACGCGGATTTTGTGAAATATGGTTCTTCTTTTAAGACTTAAATTAAGTGTACTGTAAAAGTATTCAAGAGTTTTGTGTGTTAATTAAATTATATACGATACATATAATAATTTTTTTGTAAAAAATATTTACTTGGAAAATAATTTGAACTATAAAAAGTGAGGTTAGTGCATTTTGCAAATCGTATTGGAGTAAAATGGAAAGTTATATTAAATCAGTAAGGGAACAACTTACAAAAAAGAAATCAAAGTCTAAGAAAATTAAAATAGGACTGGATAAATTTGATTCGGAGGAAGTGTTTTCCAAATTAAAAAAGTTTAAGAACAAAATAAAAAAGGGGAAATCCCCTCAGGTTCAAAAAACTGCTTTAAAACCTAAATTAGAAAAAAAAGATATCAAAGCACCCAAATCTCATTTAATATTGAGTCCATCGAGATCTGAATTGGAAACTGAAACAAAAATTAAACATAGAAGGAATATTTCAATGGAAAAAATAATTTTTCCCACTATTAAAAAGAAGAAGAAAAATATTAAAAAGCCCATGAAAAGAAGTGTTTCAGAGTCTTTAATGACAACCCAAATGGAAACACAGAGATTAAATAATAGTAAGGAAATTACACCAAAAAAAGTAAAGAAAATTAAGGTTAACCAACTAAATGTTTCTGATGTTTGTCCAGTTAACAGTAATTTTGATATTGATGAGTTTTTTGAGATTCATTCTTCATTTACAAAAGAACCAGAGGATGATAAAATTGTAGAATATGATTTCGATGATGAGGATAATATTTTTGAATCATTTGAAAAAGCAGAAATTTTAGACCCTATGACCCTTAAACCTTTAGATTCTGAATGTTCCAGTGTAGAAAGTGAAACCAATTCACCAGCTGTAGAAGAAATATTACCTATTTTTTCAGCAATTAAGTCTGAAGAATGTTTATCTCAAATTTCAGAAAGTTATGTGGTAGAACTACCAACCTATTCTTCATATGATTTGACTAAAGGAAAGATTCTGATTATAGAAAAAAATAAACCCATTGCATTACAAGGGTATGTAAAATTGGATGTATACCATGGTGTATTACAGATTTTTGGAAAAACTTTCAAAGAAAATCAAAGTTTAAATGTTTATTCTCCCAGAGGCACTGCTTTATTTACTTTGGAAAACACCACAAAGTCTGACATTTCAACAAATATAAAACTCGGCAAATTACTGCCCAAACTGAAAGAACATGAAAAACTCAATGATGTGAATGTTCAGAAAAACAGCCTAATCCTCTATTGCACACAAATAAACAACCCAAAAGTATTATTTTTGGAAGAACACATCTCACAACAAATATTCCCAAAACCATACTTAAACATGCCTGCTATAAATTTAAACCCAGAAAATACAAACACCCTAAAAATAAACCCAGAGTGGGATTCAACATTGAGCAGAATTGAGGCAAACTCAAAGTTTATGATTGTGGGGGGTAAAGGTGTGGGAAAGAGTACTTTTTTGAGGTACTCCATTAATAAACTCTTGGAGGTCTTCAGCAGGGTTAGAGTTATAGATTTGGATCCTGGGCAGTCTGAGTTTACCGTTCCCGGATGCTTGTCTATATTAACAGTGGATAAAATGTTGTTTGAGCCAAATTATTTGCATTTGAAGAAGCCAGAAATGTAAGAATTTTTTTTATAATTTTAATTGTGAAGATGTTTTATACAAGTTACCACATAACACATTAGTTTATTTAAAAAATTAAAGAATATTTTTGCTAAATAATCTAAATATTTTAGAAATATTAGTCATTACCATTTAAATGCCTCTAAAATGTTTTTACAACATTTTTAGATGTCCCACTTTTTATATTTTTACAATTTTTTTCACAACATTTTTAAAACATTTTTACAAATACACCACATACATCACATTCATATGTATTATATATCAGAAAAATATCTGGAATCATTTTCAAAATATTTACAATTCATTGCATATCGTCGTTTATCTGACAAAGAGGCGTATCTCATTTTTAAACAAAACGGTGTGAATTGAATTACGCCAGTTTGTACGGCACACAAAATGCAAAAATATTAGTTACGCCGAAACTGATTTATGCTAAAACTTTATTTGTACCTATTTATTATAGAGCTACGCCAGTTTGTGAGATTATAAAGTCGATTTTGGTGATCATTCTGGTATAACTCAAAAACGATTTTTTTTGAGTTACGCCTCTTTGTCAGATAAACGACGATATTTATTTTAAAACATTGTAAACGTTGATAAAATGTTTTTTTATATTTATAAAAGCTGTGATAATTTTTGGGTACTAAATTTTCTTGTTTTGGTGCACAAAAGTAGATATGGTATGGTATTCTCATATTAGATATACTAAAATAGTGGAATACCATAGCTGGAGATCTATTTTTTACACGCTAAAAATACAAGAAAATTTAGTACCTCCATGTCTTAAAAAAAATATATTAAAAAAAAATAGTTTATTTTAAAAATAATCAATATAAATAAAAGTGAAAATAATATGTAAAACAAAATTCTTTAGGAAAAGTTACAGTCTTGGTTTTTCTTTGGAGATCTATTTTTTGCAATCTAAAAATACAAGAAAATTTAGTACATGTCTTAATAAAAAATATTTAAAAAAAATAGTTTATTTTAAAAATAATCAATATACGAGGTGTGTTCAGAAAATATCGGGAATTTTCGTTTTTGAAACAACTATTTATTTATTATCTTTGAGATAGCCTTTAGTTCTTTCAGCGATGCGCTTTTAATGTCATCTATGCTTGCAAAACGACGGCCCTTTAAGGTTCTCTTTATTTTTGGGAATAGGAAAAGTCAGACAGAGGCATGTCTGCCGAATATGGAGGCTGGGGCATCATTACAGTATTGTTTTTGGCCAAAAATTTTGTTCAAAATTTAACAATTTTGGAACAAATTTTGCTGCCACGCGTTTCATACCCGCAACATTTGAAAAAATTTCATGGGATGAGCCAATCGATATCCCAACATCATCAGCGACTTCTCTAATGGTTTATAACCATTCCTCCCATTTTTTCCATGTTTTTATCGGTTGTTAATGTGCTTGTGCGTTTGGGGCGTTCGTCATCTTCAACGTCTTCACGGCCATTTTGGAAACTCTTATACCACTTGTAAACTCTTGTTTTACTTATAGCAGACTCACTATAGGCCTTTGTTAACATTTCACACAATTTATTTCATTTTTTTAAGTAATATTGGATACAAATTCTCTTTGATCCCTTTCTTTTAACAAACGAAAATCGCCGAGCTCATAAAACACGTCTAACCTTAGCGGCTGCCACAAACAAAGTAAACAATGAAAACAGCTAAAGTTTTTATCATACTTCGGGGGCATGTATACCAACATAATAAATAAAATTTTATGACAACCGGACCCTCCGAAGCCGCGAAATTTAACAATTCGCTTTATTTTCTGAACACACCTCGTAAATAAAAGTGAAAATAATATGTAAAACAAAATTCTTTAGGAAAAGTTACAGAAATAAAAGAATATTTTTCTTTCTACACACGGTGCTGTTCTGAGAGGTGATTTTTGTGAAACCTAATTTTTTTTAATATTCTTGTTAATTAGGTCATAACTAAAATTTTAAGAGCAAAATAAAAAAAATTGACGGTTTGAATTGTTTTAATTGGCTGTTTATTAAAAATATTATGCACTCTTTCAATTATCCAATTAAAACTAGCGATTTAATTGAAATATTTAATATTTGCATAACTAAAAAAAAGGTTTTTACAATTTTTTTTATATATTTTACTGTTTTGTTGCAATAAAAGTTCAAACTTTTAATCTAACCCGAGGGGGTGTCCACTTCCCGCAATACATGTACATTTCTACCGCAATCCCCCGAAATCGCTAAAAAGCTGCGAGAAATCCCGCAATCTTTAAAGGCAGTCGCCGAAATCGTTCGCAATCCCATCGAAATTACTTGCAGTCTGCGCAGTCCCTCCGAAATCCGGCAATCTTCGCATGGTAATTACGTAGAGATTTTACATGAGCGGCATATATCCCGGGTTTTCTTGCATGTGTGTTCTTAGTTCAGTAAATAAATATTTTATTTTAGTGAAATCTGTGAACTTATGTTATTTTGTGTTCTAAAAAGCTGCGAAAAATCCCGCAATCTTTAAAGGCAGTCGACGAAATCCCTCGCAATCCCATCGAAATCGCTTGCAGTCTGCGCAGTCCCTTCGAAATCCCGCAATCTTCGCATCGCGATTACCTACGTAGAGATTTACATGAGCGGCATACTCCCGCGATTTCTTGCATTTGTGTTCTTATATTTACTGAACTATAGTTCAGTAAATATAATATATTTCACTACAAGGGCAGAAAGTGTGAGATTCCTGCACTGCGCGCCATCATGGCGCGCAGTTCAGGGCTCTCACACTTTCTGCCCGTGTAGTGTATACTATTTTTCTTGCTACCCGGCCGAAAATACGGGAAAAAATTAAATGTGTATATCGAAACATATTGATGCCTGCCCCGACATTTGCGGCACGAGCGATATTATAGAGGGCGGTGGAGGTGGAATCGGGGACAAAACAACGTATTTTCAGCCGAGGTAGTAAGAAAATTACATTTTCTTACTACCTCGGCCGAAAATACGTATAGCTTGACCAATGCATAAAACGTAAACTTTCTGCCGTGGAATCGGGGACGAAACAACGTATTTTCAGCCGAAATAGTAAGAAAAGTTATTTACCTAACAAGTGCGGAAAGTGATACTTTTCCGCACGAGACTGTAGTTGACCGAACGACGCGAAGCGGAGTTCGGTCAGCAGTCGAATGCGGAAATGACACTTTCAGCACGTGTTAGGTACAATGTTTTTTCTACAAGCGTGCGGAAAGTTGCTGCAAGCGAAAATTTTGAAACAGACGTAAAAGTATTTTTTCTACAAGCGTGCGGAAAGTTGCTACAAGCGTGCGGAAAGTACAAAAGTTCAACTTTCCGCACTAGTGCGAAAAAGTGCAACTTTCCGCACGGTTATGCGTGCGGAAAGTGGCAGCTTCCGCATGCTTGTAGAAAAATTATTTTGACAAGTGGATGAGTAGACTAACATTCGACGTAACATTTGACCTTGTTTACTGGCGATTAAAATTTTATTAAGTCCAAATAATTTCTGAGAACTTTTTCGCTTTGCGCTGACTTCGACTTGTCTGGTCCACCTACAATGTATTTTCCCTATGTATAGCTTGCAAATGTCAACGATATCCTTTGGAGGAATGATAGGACAACTCATCATGAGTTACTCATGACCAATCAGAAAATCAAAACATGACCTTAGTAAAAAATCGTTTTTAAGATATTGGCATTTTAATGAATTTTGTGAAGCTTGACACCTTAAAACAATTTTTTTAGTGCCACAGCTACAAAATTTCATATTCTAAGATTTTTTTGTGTTGCGCAACACTGAATAGGCCTGCTATTAATTACAGTTGAAAATAAAACTAATGGTAGTTTTTTACCCTTTAAAAACCATACACTTTTGCCCGATTTTATAAAAAAAAATCATATATGTATTATAAACACTAAATAAAATAATAGATTATGGCCTAGGCACAAATTATTTAGACCAATTGGGTTCTGTCAGATCTATCCAACCTAACTTTTTACTTTTAATTCCATTTATTTTTAATGGCAGTCATGGAAATCCCTAGGATTGCCTTCGCAATCACCAGAAATCTCTATGAATGCCTTGGCAATCACCGGCAATCACCCGCAGTCCTTTGCAATCCCTAATTTCTATGGCAGTCATCAGAAATCATAGGATTTCCGCAATACATGTACATTTTTCAGTAGATTGGACACCCCCTCGATCTAACCTTTGAAGTATACATTTATGTTCCCTTAAGGTAGTTGTCGTGGTACAATATTGTCAAAAATTTTTAGATTATACGCACCGTAAAAGTATACGAGCTGGTAGCTAAGTGATTCATAATTTGTTCGCAAGACTGTACCCTGGAGACGTTATTTTTACGTAATACTTTCAAATATTTTCATAAGTTTTAATCCGGCAACGTCGCTTATGCTCAACCAATAGATATATTGGAGACTGAATCAGACGTTTGAATTTACTGCGGAAATTATATCTATACTCGCGTACAGCCTTGCCAAGTTGTTTTTATCTGACACTAGTGATGTATACTTTTTACAAATTGTTGAACTTTAAACGGTTATTTATAAACAATTGGACGGTCAAAAATTTTTAATTATTTTTTTTTAAACTCAGCAAAAATACATTAAAACAATGTTAGTTTTTTGAAAGCTTCTGACAGTTAGTTTTTTCTGTATAACTAAGAAACTGGTACAGAACTACAGAAAGCCTATACAATCCATGTTAATTATCCAATTTTTAATTGAATTTATCTCGGGTTATAGACGGTCAATCGACTTCAAATTTTAAGGATATATGTATTGTCATGTCCTTAATAAGTATACAAAAATTCAAAATTTTCTGATGGTATGCTTATAGCACGACAACTACCTTAATTAATATATCCTTAAAGGTTGCCATGAAACTTAGACATATTAAAAATTTATTTGATGTTTGAATTGTCATTTTCAGTATACGTATTCTATAATTTTTGTTTAGTTTTTTAAAGTGTTTTTTATAAACAAAAATGAAAAATCGTAGTAAAACTTACGAAAAAATTCATGAAATTTAACTAAGGACCGGTTTATTCATCTTTAGTAAAGTTTATCGGGCCGATAACTTTCATGTCTTGACAATATCTAGTATCCAAAGCAATTATTCGTCAAATAAATCAAAAATGAATAAATCGGCCCTAAATAAAATATGGCACCCTTAGAATTATTGTTTAATAAATATATACAGTTGTATTCATTAAAAAAGCGTACAAGAATTAGAATGAGAGAAAACTGTCAACATTATTGCGTAAAACCGGCTTTCCACTGACTTAAGTCACTATAACTGACAGTACAAAATAAAAATGCCTCGTCAGTTAAAAAGGCTCAAATAGTATCAAGAATCGAAGAAGAATGGTCAATTCGTACCGTGGTATAATAGAAATAAAAAATCTATATTAAAAATTAATAATTTTTGTAATATTATTTAATTAACCTACGATGTCAATGCTCTTTATAACCTATAGTAATTATTTTAATGACTTATGTCAGTGATAAGCCGGTTTTAAGCAATAATATTATTTTGACAGTTTTCTCTCATTCTAATTCTTGTACGCTTTTTTATTGATACAACTGTACTATACATTTAACCTTAAATTAAAACTTTAAACGTGTATTACAGCAAAACAGTAAAAGATATAAAAAATGTATAGACCTTTTTTTAGGAAATTAACTAATCTTTAATCTGATTTAAAAAGTTATGATAATATTTAAATAAATCGCAAGTTTTAATTGGAGAATTGAAAGTGTGCATACATATTTTTAATAAACATCCAATTAAAACAAAATTAACCGTCAAATTTTTTTTATTTTGCTCTTAAAATTTTAGTCATGGCCTAATTAACAAGAATATAAAAAAAATTAGGTTTCACAAAAAGTCAAAAAATCACCTCTCAGAACAGCACCATGTACAGTCTTGGTTTTTCTTTTTTTACTTTTTCTAAATTTAGCTTAAGCCAGCCTTTGTCGTAACTCAGGTAAATAGTTATTTATGTATCAAGGCAGTAAAGACTTTTTATCACGAATGTGAAAATTATTTTCCGAGGCGAAATTTAATAATACTAATAATTATAATTAATATTGATGATTTAAATCAAATATCATTTTAATGTAGGAAGTGTCTACGTATACTGTTTGTTGCGACGGTTATTATATATTTGCCCGCCGCGGCGATTTTTTAATCTAATTAATAAAATTAACTTATTATTTTTATTAAACAACATTTTATGAAAGGGTCAAATCGACCTCCGCGAAGTTGCTGCTGAGGAGCAGTAGACACATCGTCACCTGAGAATTATAGTGTTCTATCTGCATTTTCTTTTTTTTATTCAGGTTAGTCTTGTTTTAAGTATTAAAGATGCATATTGTTCTATCTATATATAATTGGGGTAGAAATTGTACAGTTTAAGCCTTAAACTTTACAATTTCTACCCCAATTATATATAGATAGATCAATATCATCTTTAAGACTTAAAACAAGACTAACCTGAATAAAAAAAAGAAAATGTAGATAGAACACTATAATTCTCAGGTGACGACATCTTAAAATGTATAATGGGTTGCATACAATACTCGTATTAAATCGGCAGTAAAGTTCCACTTTACTGCCGATTTCTTTTACTTTACTGCTGATTTCGGATAAATGTCATTTTCCTTCGCAGTTTCGGTTTTGGAATTTTTCCGGATGGAGGCTAGAAATAATTTAGGTAATTTAAATTAAAGTCTTCGGTTTAATCCCTCGGCGATTTTATTAGGTTTATGTTTGTTTTTTGTTAATAAGAAATTTACCGATAGAATAATTGTCTTTAATAGTTTGGCAATAAAATTTTAAGGTACAACCGCGGTTCAGTACACTAGTTTACTGGCAGCTGTCATTTACATAAAATTGCGAAATAAATGTTGAAAAATATATACGTGATATTTATAAATGTTTTTGTAATTTTTGAAAAACTTATAATAATTTTTGTTATAGATCAATACTGTCAAACATAAATGTAGGAAACGAGCCTGGCAGTTACATAAGAGCGGTAAAACACCTAATAGAAATTAACAACAAAATGGAACCGCTTCCAACAATAATAAACTACATGGGTTTTAACGCTGGTATAGGCTTAAACTTGGTCTGCAGCGCAATATTTTACGTACAACCCACACATGTAGCCCAAATAAACAGTCAAATACACAAGAAAAACTTCGCTTGTCCGCTGACAATTGAAAATGTTGGGAAAAATTCAACTCTGTTCTGCTGTGATGTTAAAATGAGCATGCATTATGAGCTTATTACCATTTCTTCCATGACTGATTTTAATGATGCTTGGAGTCTGGAGCCCAGGCAGATGAGAGAAATGTCCATATTAACATATTTTGGTGAAATGATGTCTGATGAAGTTCTTTCCATTACCAATCCCAATATTCCTATGTTTGAGTAAGAATTGTTTACAAAAATCGAAAAAAAATTCTCCCCACCATATCCCATTATAATTTTTCCATGTATTTTGAACCAATAAACAGGAAAATCACAAAAAAAAATTTATATAAGCGTTTATGAAATATGAATTTTAAATTGTTTTTTTTAATTTTCGGAGGTGTTTTGACGTTTTTGAGTATATCTTGAAATCTAATTGATCGATTTGGTCAAACAAGCCCTTAAATTGAAAGTATTTGAGCCCTCTAAAACTTTATTTTACATACTTTCGATATCGGATAAGTATTTTGACGCTAGCGATTTTAATAACTTAAAAATTGAGGTCGAAAATTTACATATCGTCCTGGGAAAGATTTAAATCAAACAGATAACTCCAGTTTGGATTTTTTTTCGGTAAGCTGATATTTTTACAAAAAAAAAAACAAGCTAATGTTGATAAAAATACATGAAAAAATGGCGAAGTTATGAATTTTTTAGTGAAAGACCAAAATTCAGCTTTTACACGATTTTTATTTTATTTTTTATATTTATAATTATATTTTGCAATATTTTTATTTTTTAATGAAAAACTAATTAAAGTGCATGATTGAAATTTTTAAAGTTTTTTAAGTACCTACTTTTTTCACCGAAAACATTATATAAAATTTAAATTTGACATGACTCCGCCAACGTGAATTCTTTTGTTTCTCGTGTTGGCATAGTGACATTTTACTGCTATTTTTTGATATTTTAACAGAGTATTTTTGTCATGGTTTTATTTAATTAATAAAAAGTGTAAAATAAGTAAAAGAAGTAGAGAGTTTGAGTGCGTAAATAACCCGGACAATCTGGGCGACGTTAGTGATGAGCACGGAGAACGTTTTCACCAGCAAATGAAGGCTATGGAGCGGCGGTATCAGGGCTTCTGGGATGCAGCCATGATGGGTTGGGTTGGTCCCTTATACGAGAAACGGAATACGAAAGCAACAAAAAACAAAAAAGGAGCCAGATTTTTTTTAAACCTATGCTTATTACAACAAAATAAAACTTTCAATATCTTTAATGTTCAATATTTATTGTTCAATATTCAATATATAATTTAATTTCAATATTTAATGTTTAAAATAAAAATCAATGTTCAATATGAAACTTTATATAACTCAATAAAATGAAAAAACGTAAAAATTCTCACTGAAAAATTCATAACTTTGCCATTTATCCATGGATTTTTATCAACAGCAGCTTATTTGTTTCCTTTAACTATAATCTATACCTAAAATAAATCAAACTGGACTTATCTTTTGGATTTCTATCTTTCCCAGAAAGATATGTAATTTTTGACCTCGATTTTTGTAAAAAAAGGATTTTTTCAACTTTATAAAATCGCCAGTATCGAACTACTGAGCCGATACCAAAACTATACAAGAGAAAGTTGTAGATGGCTCAATTAACTTTGATTTAAGTGCTTGTTTGATCAAATCGATCAATTAGAACTCGAAGTATACTCTAAAACGTCAAAACACCTCAGAAAATTAAAAAAAAAATTGAAAATTCATATCTCGAAAGCGCTTCCATGAAAAAAATTTTAAGTGTGATTTTCTCATTTAGTGATCCAAACTACACAAGAAAATAATAGTGAGACATGGTGGGCAAAATGGCTGGAAACTAGTGTTATTATTTTATAATACCCATGTTATTTTTTTCAGAACTTCCTTATCTTCAGTAAAAATTGTTGATAATCAAGGAAAACCATCTGATCCATCGACTGCCAACGCAAATTTAGTGGCTTTATGTAGCTTACAAGATGAAAACTTTATTTGCCATGGATGGGGTAAAATTTCCCAATTTTTTGTTATAATTTGTATACCTAATATTGATATTTTAACATTTTAGGTATTGTAAGAGGAATAGACTGTTTAAACGACAAAATAGTACTAATTACTCCAGAAAAAGCAAAAATTTTGGATCTGGTTGACTATTTAGTGGTAGGATGTATGAATCTACCCCCTACAATTTACATGAACACTAAAGAATCCTCCGGAATGATTCCATATGTTATGGAAAGCGAACTTGATGCTTTATCACAGTTCACCAAAAGGGTATTCAAGCCCCCTCATAAATAAGTTACTTAAAATACTTCTAAATAGGTTTTTATTTCATAACTATTTACGAATAAAATGTTATATTTAACACTGTTTTATCTTTAAAAAGTTCTCCCATATCACTTAATATAAAAGATTATTCAAAATATTAATTTTAAAGGAATACTAATATACAAAACTATCGCAGAAAATCTTAAAAGTTAAGAAAGACATTTGGTCAAAAAATAAATATTTAATTAATTAAAGGAATGCAATTTTGTGTTTTCTCGTGAAAAATCTTTTAATTATTGAAATATTTAGTTAAATTAAAATTTATTACCGAATTTGGCAAGAAAATCCCCTAAATAGTTTAAATTATTTATATTTCTCTAATTTATGCTTCCAAGTTTGTCCTTGTAAAATATAAATAAATACCGCAGTTAAATCTTGAAAAATGATCGAATTTCTATAATTTAAAACAATTTATTACAACAATTAAAAAATAAAAACAAAGTACTTATCTACTTTAAAATATATAATGAAATATTTGTAATTTAGTCTCTTCTCAAATATCTTTTGTAACTATTAAATATTACAACTTTTACTAATACAAAAAATATTGCAGGAAATCTTTAAGGTTAATAGACCTTTAAAATAAATGTTTAATTAATTAATTGAATGGCTGTAATTAAGTCTTTTCCAAAGAATCTTTTCTCATGATAATTTTTAAATTATTGTATTGTATTTATGTACAATAATACAATACAATAATTTACAATAATACAATAATTTAATAAATGTCAATGATTAAAAAAAAATGATTTGGTAAAAAATTGCCCCATTTTAATTTATACAACAAAATTTATGAATTTTAGTTATTTTTTTAGTTGAATAGGTATATTTGACTTAATTTAAAAAAATAATTTTATAATTATAATTAATTTAGAATTTTAGATTCATAAATTTTGTTGTATAAATTAAAATCGAGCAATTTTTTACCAATTAATCTTTTTTTTAATCAAATCAAATTTTTGAATTTTGTTGTAGGTATAAATTAAAATCGAGCAATTTTTTACCAATTAATCTTTTTTTTTAATCATTTACATATTTACTTTAAACTAAACTGCGCACCACTCAATGTGTCGCGACCAAAAAGTTCGTTCTTTTTCAAAACCACATAACTTTTTTGTTTCTTGAACGATTTTATTTTGGTCTGTGATGTCTGCTAGCCTCATCCACTGGTAATTCATGCTATAGATATGAAGCTCACGGTTCGTCAAGTAAATTTCCTACAGGGTGATATGTTAAACGGGAAAAATTTCAATAACTTTCAAATTTGAAAAACGTTTCAAGGTAACACATAATACTTCATTATTTCAAAGTAAAAACGAGAAAAAATATTTCTTTTTTCAAACGGGATTTGGATAAAGTTATTAAAATTTTACATCGTTTTACATATCACCCTGTAGGAAATTTACTTGAAGAATCGTGGGCTTAATATCTATAGCATGAATTGCGAGAGGATGGGGTTAGCAGACATCACAGACCAAAATAAAATCATTCAAGAAACAAAAAAGTTATGCCGTTTTGAAAAAGGACGAACTTTTTGGTCGCGACACATTGAGTAGTGCACAGTTTATATGAAAAAATATCGCAGTAAAATCCTAAAAGACTGGTCAAAAAATTATAAATGAAAATTATATTTATATTTTAATATACGCAACCACCATTACAGATAGTGTTATTTGTATGTAATTCTAGTTGTATATATTCAAATACTAGAGTAGCTCCAAAGATGCATACGTGAGTAGCTCAAACAACTGTTTTGACAAATGTTTTGTAATTCTAACCTCAATTTACTTTTAAAACCTTGATAGAGATTTTCTATTAGAAAATCATGAATCCATTCGTAATTACAATTTAATTATTTATCCGTCATGATGAACGAAGTGCAAACAATAAAAACCTTCTTTGATTCGCATCAAGTGCTTCTATCCTTGGAATGGCTTGAAAGTTGTATTCAGTGGTGTAGATCTGAACTCTTAGGACCTAATTACGCGATTACCGATTTGCAGTTTAAAGTTTACGAACAATGGTTGCTGCTGGACTTAAGAGAAGTAGAATTAAAGGCTCTTCCCCCAAATATTTCGACCCAAAAGAAGTATACATTAAATGGAATATATTCCTTGCAAGTTATAAAGATTGTGGACATATCAAAGCCAAAGTTATGGCAAATACAAAAAATTAGAAATACCAATGCGTTGTCAAGAAATCAAGAGAAGGATAATGAGGAGGCTGGTATAGGAAAAAGGGTTCTATTGGTCACAATGACAGATGGAGTGCAAGAAATCGAAGGTATGGAATATAAACCGTTGCCGGCGCTGAACATAAACAGTAGGCCTGGCATAAAGGTAAGGTTAATGGGGCCTATAACGGTGAGGAGAGGTCGGTTGATGTTGGAGCCGCAGCATATTAAAGTTCTTGGTGGAGAGGTGGAGGAAATTGTTGTTTCCAACGCTGCAGAAAATATTTTGGCCAGGGCTTTGGGGTTGCCGGAAAATCCTACACCAACTGTTATAGATGAGAGTATTCTTACCGCTAATACTGATATATTCAATCAAAGTAAGTAAACTTTATTACAGGCAAGCTATTTTGTGTGGATATCTACCAGAGTTCTTTAAAACTAAATTTTACAACGAAGTTTAAGTCACATAAAACTGATTGCAGTTTTTTGTTCAGGACCCTTTGGTGACTTAAAAATGTTATTTACCAAAATCCTAGCTGCTCCTATTTTCGAAATTTTTTGAAAATTCATGTTTTTTTTTTAATTTTTGTTTATTTCAAAGTCTACCTTTGAGAGATTATATATTTGTACACCGATTTTTATAAAATTAGAGTATATTATTGGGAAGACTTAGAGAATACTTTTAATACTGTTCACATCATTTGATATATACAGGGTGAGCCAAAAATCGCTTATTTTTAATAAAGCAAAAGCGTAAATTCATGATTTTGGCATAACACGCAAAAAAAATTTATCCTCATTTTTTTTAGATATTTCTACGTTTATCAGGTTACAAAATGGTATTCTTATTAAACTTTTATAAAAAATAGATTAAATAAAATAACACTTAGAGAATATTTAAAATGTTGTTTAATTTAGGCTTTTTAGTAGTTTTAAATTTTGAACGAAAAACTGGTTGAAGTTTTTTGATCGGCACTATTTGTTAAAAATATAGATATTTACCAAAATTCTAACTGCTTTTTTTTAAATTTGTTAAAAAATCATTTTTTTTTAATTTTTCTTTATCGCAAAGTCTACCTTTGCAGAGTACACATTTGTACACCGATTTTTATTGATTGCAGTTTCTTGTTCGGGACCCTTTGGTAACTTTAAAATGATATTTACCAAAATCCTAGCTGCTCTTTTCGAAATTTTTTGAAAATTCTTAATTTTTTTTTTATCTTACCTTTGACAGAGTACACATTTGTACACCGATATTGTTAACGAGATTTGGAAAATACTGTTTCATATTGAGCACATCATTAGATTTATACAGGGTTAGCCAAAAATCACTTTTTTATACAGTAAAAAGCATAATACACAAAAAAGATCTCTAAAAAATGTTATTTTATTTAATTTTATTCAAAATTAAATCTTAATAATAATCCCACTTTGTAGCCTGATTAACATAAAAATATCTAAAAAACATGGGTGGGTATATATCTTTTTTGCGTGTTATGCCAAAATCATGAAGTTACGCTTTTGCTTTATTAAAAGAAGCGATTTTTGGCTAACCCTGTATATATTAAATGATGTGCACAGTATAAAAAAGTATTCTCAAAATCTCCTTAACAATATACTCCAATATTATAAAAATCGGTGTATGTCAAAGGTAGACTTTAAGATAAACAAAAATACAGGGTGTCCCACAATTAGTGCGACAAAATGAAGGTGTATTATCTAAAGACCCCCAGGAATTCCAGAAAATTGTTTAAAAAATTATTTCTTCATTATACAAGGTGTCCCTAAACTTGGTGGCATAAATTTAGGAGCAGATTAAGCAATAGGGTGGAGTGAATTTTTTTAAATTTATTAATTGATTTTTCCTATATTATTAATTGTTGACCAAAGGCGTAAAATGAATAAATATCGAAAAAATATTCCAATTTTTTAATATCTTGAGGTGGCGCATCAGTCTCGAAGTTTTGAAAATTCTAAAAAAATATTACTTCAATCAAAGTAATAAAAATAGCATTATTTATAAATAAAAAGTTTATTTTAGTAAAATTAACGTGAAACGTAAACATATTTAATAGTAAATCATATGCTTTAAGTAACTTCAGGAGTGTTTATTGATAGAAATGAGGTATTCTTTTTCGCGAAAATACTGACATTTGGTATCAAACTGTGGTAATTATTTTCTGACTTTTATTCTTGTTCTAATGAAACCATCTCTTGCTTCCGATTTACAAACCGAGACCAAAGATTCAGTATACTGGTTATAACCAGTTTTACACAGCGTTCCACTGCTTGGGTGTGACACGGAAATTTTTGAAAGTATAGGAAATGGTCACCCGAAGAAATCATATCGGTAATTTCTGTCATCGTATTTCATAGTCATAGGTGGTTCAGTCACCTTTTCTGTCGCCCAGTGAATTTACTCGTACAAATGTAATGCTTCAGTATTTAGTTGTGGAAGCTTTAATTCTCGTAATATCGAACATTTTGATTCTTTTCTCGCCTTTAATATTTTCGGCAATGCTAGTTCTCTGATCGATAGATATATTGTAGGGTAACATAGCAAGTAATAGGTTTTCGGGATAAATATTAGCTCTAGCTAACAAAGATCCAGGAAAGATAGCTGAATATTCTTTATAACTATAGTTATAAGGCCTTCAAGTTTTTCTGGAGATGCAATGCTCTTTTAGTCATATTAAATATGTGAATAGGACCATGTTTGCACGTAGGCTTGGTGTTGATGTAAAACCACGTTGGGACATACACTTTCATGATAAAAGTAGCCAATTCTTTTAGGTTTCCCGATGGATTTGCTGTCCCCACATATAAACGAATAATCCTATTAGCACACGCCAGCCATAGGGAATGTGCTATCTTTCCTGGATCTTTGTTAGCTATAGCTAATATTTATCCCGAAAACCTATTACTTGCTATGTTACCTACAATATATCTATCGATCAGAGAACTAGCATTGCCTAAAATATTAAAGGCGAGAAAAGAATCAAAATGTTCGATATTACGGGAATTAAATCTTCCCCAACTAAATACTGTACATTTGTACGAGTTAATTCACTGGGCGACAGAAAAGGTGACTGAACCACCTATGACTATGAAATACGATGACAGAAATTACCGATATGATTTCTTCGGGTGACCATTTCCTATACTTCCAAAAATTTTCGTGTCACACCCAAGCAGTGGAACGCTGTGTAAAACTGGTTATAACCAGTATACTGAATCTTCAGTCTCGGTTTGTGGATCGAAAGCAAGAGATGGTTTCATCAGAACAATAATTAAAGTCAGAAAATAATTACCAAATTTTGATACCAAATGTCAGTATTTTCGCGAAAAAGAAGATCTCATTTCTACCAATAAACACTCCTGAAGTTACTTAAAGCTTATGATTTACTATTAAATATGTTTACGTTTCACGTTAATTTTACTAAAATAAACTTTTTATTTATAAATAATGCTATTTTTATTACTTTGATTGAAGTAATATTTTTTTAGAATTTTCAAAACTTCGAGACTGATGCGCCACCTCAAGATATTAAAAAATTGGAATATTTTTTCGATATTTATTCATTTTACGCCTTTAGTCAACAATTAATAATATAGGAAAAATCAATTAATAAATTTAAAAAAATTCACTCCACCCTATTAAGCAAGTCAAAATAAGACGAAAACCCAAATAAATATTTTTCCTAATTACTTAGGTTTCCAAGGTACAGGGTGATAAAGTGTTACTTATCATATCAGTTTTTTGAATATAACCTCCACCATTATGGTAGTCTTGGAAATGTGATATTTTGCGAACAGTCACTTACTACCAAAACACATATTCACACATAATTATAATTGTTTGAGTGAACACAGTGTCGTAGAAACGGGGGTTGCTTTAAGCTTATTGTCCCATACAAACTTTGAGGTTAGGTTTTTATAAAATTTGATGCAATTTTTAGATTACACAATTCGGCTACCATTAAAAAGGTGTACCTCTCAAATTTCGATAAAATAAACCGTTTCCGAGATATTCGAGATTACAATACTGCCGTGCTTAATGAAAACGCCGTAACCAACAATTGTGCGATTTTTGTTTTACGGCATTTTCTACTAGAAAAATTCATCCTGCGTCTATCCCCGGTACTCAAAAAACCGTATTTATATATATACGGGTTTTTGAGTACCGGGGATAGACGCAGGATGAATTGTTCTAGTAGAAAATGTCGTAAAACAAAAATCGCACAATTGTTGGTTACGGCGTTTTCATTAAGCACGGCAGAATAATTGTTACATCGCATTTTTTAAAAGGATTAAAAGGTATATGATAACAAATTTTATTTTTTAATTGAAAAAACTAAAAAGGGCATTCCATGAGCCTCGGGACATTTTGCCCTGACCGTCACATTAAAAAAAATTGTAGTTTTTTCAATTAAAAAAATTGTTATCATATACCTTTAGTCCATTAATGCGATATAACAATTATTGTAATTTCGAATATCTCGGAAACGGTTTATTTTATCGAAGTTTGAGAGGTACACCTTTTTAATAGTAGCCGAACTGAGTAATCGAAAAATTGCATCAAATTGTATAAAAACCTAACCTCAAAGTTTGTATGGGACAATAAGCTTAAGCAACCCCTGTTTCTACGACACTGTGTTCACTCGAACAATTGTAATTATGTGTGAATATGTGTTTTGGTAGTAAGTGACTGTTCGCAAAATATCACCTTTCCAAGTCTACCACAGTAGAAGTTATATTAAAAAACTGATATTATAAGTAACACTTTATCACCCTGTATCTTTTAAACATACGTAATTAGGAAAAATATTTATTTAGATTTTCGTATTATTTTGACTTGCTTAATCTGCTCCTAAATTTATGCCACTAAGTTTAGGGACACCTTGTATAATAAGATACAGGGGAGTCATATTTTCTTTATAAGGCAACATTGCCTCATAACAAAGTAATAGTTTAATTCTTAATCATCATAACAACAAACAACAATGTTAGAAAATGCCAAATTTAAATGTCAAAATTTGTTACTTTAAGTTATAGGTTATTTATTTTTACGTCAGACTGGATAGAAAAGTCCCAGTCTGACGTAAAATAAATAATAATAATAATAATAATTTATTAATGTCAATAAATACAAAATCTTTGCACAGGTCAGATGGATAGAAAATTACAATATACAAATATATAAATATATAAAAATACAAGTAGACATATTAATTGTTATAAAATGATTAAGATAAAAACGTACAATAATATAAAACATCACACATTTAAATCACAAAAGTTGTTGGATAGAAACTCATCCAGAGAGTAAAATGCCTTGGAAATTAAATATTCTTTTATAACTATTTTAAATCTATTGTAATCTAAACTTCTAATTTTTAGAGGAATACAATTAAAAAATTTTATACCATGATAGTTAGTTCCAGTTTGAGTCCTGCCAAGTCTATTAACACCTATTTTAATGTCGTACCGATTTCTAGTAGCATACTCATGTATCATATCATATGTGTGGAGTAACTATGTAAGTTTTTCTTTATATATAACAAACCATAGAAAAAGGATATACAGGAAACAATTCTGATAGCTCTTCTTTGCAGGCCAAAGATGCGTAATCTAGCATTTGAATGACCCCATAGCAAAATAAAGACTCAATCAGTGAAAAATAAACACTTCTTAGGTAATTTTGGGATAAATTATTTGAGAGATTGCGAAGCAAAAATATGTTTTTTGACAGCCTTCCCGCAAGCAGATCCCCATGATATTGCCATGATAACTTCGAATCCAGACATATACCCAGGAAACTCGTACTTCTTGTGTATATTGGATCAAAATCACGGAGGGAAAAAACCATATTAACAGTCTTTTCGATATTTAGACAGAGTCTGTTTGCTGCAAACCAGTCACAGGCACGAGTCTGTAATTGTTGGGTTCATTGCAAAACAGTAGAAAATAGTTTGTCACTTATTACAAAAGATGTATCATCAGCAAACAGAACAACATTGTTGGCTGAGGACAAGTAACTTGGCAAATCATTTACAAAAATGAGAAACAATAATGGCCCCAATATGGAGCCTTGAGGTACCCCACTTTCTATAACCTATAACTTAAAGTAACAAATTTTGACATTTAAATTTGTCATTTTCTAACATTGTTGTTTGTTGTCATGATGATTAAGAATTAAATTTTACTTTGTTATGAGGCAATGTTGCCATATAAAGAAAATATGACTCCCCTGTATCTTATTAAATAATGAAGAAATAATTTTTTAAACAAGTTTCTGGAATTCTTGGGGGTCTTTAGATAATACACCTTCATTTTGCCGCACTAATTGTGGGACACTCTGTATGAAAAAATCATGAATTTTCAAAAAATTTCGAAAAGAGGAGCAGCTAGGATTTTGTAAATATCATTTTTAAGTCACCGAAGGGTCCCGAACAAGAAACTGCAATCAGTTTTTGGCGGCATTTTTATGTGAATTAAACTTCATTCAGGCACACCGTGCAGTATAGATGAGTTTGGATGTAGTTTTATTTAATATTTTTTTATTCTTAAAATCTTGACTATTAAAATATGTAACATGTTTTATTTCTTTTTAATGTTTTAGGTGCCAACAAAAATACTCCTAAACCTTTTACAGCAACTAATTTTAATAAAACAAACACTAATATACCCAAGAATACTTCAAACCAGAAGAAAATTGAGGATGATTTTCCCAATGATGCTGAAATGAACGATTTTATGCTTGATCAAGAAATGGATATGTTAATGGAGGCTGAAAGGGACATGGAAAGGAGCACCAAAACTAAAATACCACCACAAAGAAAAGTTAAGACACCAGACATGTTTGATGATGATTTTGAAGATTTCAATGAAGAAGAGATAATAAAAAACGCCATCAAAATCAAAACAAGTCAAAAATCAACAAAAACACCTCAAAAACAAACTAAAACAACTAAAAAACCTGCACAACTGTCACAAACTCTACAAGAAGAAATCCAAAACAATTTCGACGATCTGAACGACCTCTTTGATGACGTTTTCGGTGATTTTAACATTGATGTTCACCTGGACCAAGCTGAAATTTTAAATATAAAAAAACTGCACGAATTCTTTAGGGACAAAAAGTTTGGCACTTTCAAGGTTAAAGCCAAGTTTAATTCCATTGTGAAGAAGTTAACTGTAGCAAATGACGAGCTGCACTTGGTCATCAAAATTGAGGATTCAACAGGTGACATCTCAGTCAGGGTGCATAGTAAAATAATTGCAGGATTTGCTGGCTATACTCCTGCAGCTTTTATGGCTTTAAAGGAGAATGTCACCAAGAAGGATGAAAGTGCAACTTTAAAAGTCATTAAGGTATGATAATAATTATTAATGTAATAAAACTTTAGTAAAATGGAATATTAAATAGATTTTTAGTTTTGTTTAAGGAATTTATGGCACGCAGTTTTAACATTTCTTAAATAATTAAATATTTTCAACTACCTATAATGTATTGAAAGAAAAAATTAACCAACAGTTCACTTCTGTATTAAACAATATTATTTCTAATCAATTTTTGCAAACATTTTTAACTATCATTTTTAATAAAAATAAATTCTCAAGTATAATTTATTTGGGCAGAATTTGTAAATCCTAAATAAGTTTTATAAAATTATTTAGATTATTTCCCTCATTATAATATGAACCAATCAAAAGCCGAAAATTCGTTTAAATAAGCGATTAAATTACTAGAACTATTTAACAGCGATTAAATTTTAGCCTCCATCATAGAAAAACCTATGGCCTCCATATTGGATTTTTGTTTACGATTTTATGGTGTTATTTACAAGTTTTAACAAACATTTTTAAAAAAACAATAAAAAATAAGTTATCTAGTTTACGAAATATCAATTATTACTTATTACATACCTTAAATTAATGGAATTTTCTTTAAAAAAATATTTATAAATTTTGACACATACGTCAGATTTTATGAATTGTCAAATAGTTTCCTTTAATTCGAGAAATAATCTAGACGTATATCACTCAACCAATAAATTTAATCTGTCAAACTATGCTCAGTAAGTTTTTTTATTTGATTTTTCTTTTTGGAAAATAGTTTCATGCAATATAATTAAAAATAAAACCCCTCGTGATTTTATTAAATTATTTTGCATTCAACATTTTCCAACAAAAACCAAACAAAAAAGTACTCAGCCTAGTTTAACCGATTAAATTCATAGTTCTCGTGATATAATATATGATTAAATTTAGATTAAGGATAATTTTTTTAGTATTTAAAAATAGTGTAAAGACATTCAAAATAAAAACACATAAAACATTTTCTAACAGGATAGTTTAAAAAGTTAAACTTTTTGAATCTCAAAACAATTGGTAATCAAAAAATATTTTAAATATAAAATAAAAATTTAAAAGTTTATGTTTAAAATATTGGTTTTTAAAAATTGTATGTTTAATATTTTATTCTACAAAATTATGGGTTTAAATTTTTTAATTTAAAGTCATTAAAATGGTAGTCAATAAATTTTTAGTACAAAAATTACACATTACATTTAAAAGTTTTAAAATTTTAAACGAAATTCGTAGTTAAAAATGCAGTTAATTTGGCTTTGGTGGTGCTTGGATGAGTAAAATCATATAAAAAAAGTTGTTAAATATAGGTTGCTTTACGGCCCAGAAGAGAAAGTATTCCTAGCGGATAATAATCTTTTCTTAGAAAAGAATTTATATAAAAAAAATTAAAATTTTTTGTGAACGTAAATGTTGTCCAATGGTGAATAATGTGAAAATAATGTGTGATGTAATATTTATAAAACCAAATTCGTTACTTTTTTACTCCAAAAATGTCCATAATGCGATGTACTTTTTCTTCCATTGTGGCATTTGGCATGATTTCATCAAAATGAAGTTTTGCTCTCAAAAGGGCTTTTACATTCGAATTCGTTGCTATTATTTTTGGCATAATTATCTTTTTATTTATAATTGACAAGTAAATTATTAATAATAAATATTATTGTCAAATTGACAGTGTCAAAGTATTTAATTAAATTCTTTAGCAGAAGTACCATTTTTAAATACTAAAAATACTATGTCAAACTGGCATAAGCCACCAACCTAACAAAATAACACGAGTCCAGTTAAAAAAAATGAACTGTACATTTAAATGTAAAGTTCTAATTTTTTTTTAAATGTATCAATTTAAAATTGTTATAAATAAAAAGTTTTGGTTTTAATTTGTAAAGACGGCCATTCCAAGCGCGCACAACGCACGAATATATATATTTTGGCATCAAAATTGTCAAAAATATTCTTCTTTTATTTGAAAAGATTTATCTTGTCCCTGCCACACCTGTCAATTATTAAACTTATCTCTACTTTAATAAAATATTTCTTGCGTTTTTTTATTTAATGTATAGCCTAATAAAAGAATATATTTGACAATTTTGATGCAAAAATTATATGTAATAAATTACCTACAACTTTTTTTGTCCCATCCATATGCCTGAAATGGCCGAAATGATAGTCAATAAGTTTTTAATCAAAAAATTACCACTTTAAAATTTAAATTTACATTTAAATGTAATGTGAAAATTTTTGTATTAAAAATTTATCTACTGTCATTTAAATGACTCTTTACAAATTTAAACCAAAAATTTTGTAGAATAAAATGTTTGAACTAAAATTTTTAAAAATCAATATTTTTGAGGTAAAAGTTTTACAGTTGTATTTTATATTTAAAAATTTTTTTGACTATCAATTATTTTGAGTTTAAAAATATTTAACTTTGTAAATGTCTGTTAAAATATTCACAGCAAACGGAAAATTATAGAAGTGTATAGGATGACTCCGCGTTTGAATATCAAATCTTAAAGTTTTATCATAACTGTATTGAATCGTGCTTTGTTTTTATATTTTTCGGCTCTATACCTATGCACGACTATATTTAAAATAAAACTCAATGGTGTCTTACAAGATACATTATTTTGATTTTCTATATTCAACAGATAGGTAGAAACTCGACTATGAGGCGCCGTTTGTGCCATAATTATGATTTGTAAAATATATAATAATTTCTAAAATAAATATATATTTTGTTTAAAATATAAATATTTTATCTAAAATATATATATTTTAGCTTATTTTATAACATATATATTAGTTTTACTAAAATATAATAATATTTTTACAAAATAATATATATTTAAAATATTTATATATTTGGACAGTTGAACTAATAATATAATTTTAATACTAATAATATAAACTCAGCTTACAAGACGTAACGCCAGGAGGCGCTGGCTGCTTTATTTAACTTGGCAACGCAGCCTGTTTGTAATTGCATGTCGGAATTACTGTGGTGTAAATTAAATAAAACTAGAAGATACATTAAAAATAATAATACCTCTGGTACGTAATAAAGCACTTGGGTATAAGTTTAAATTAAAATCTAACATATTAATAGGTCATTAAAAATTTCACCGCAGTAATGGAACCAAATCGACGACATAGTTTTGCGTAGCCCAGAATTAAGGAATAAAAATTATTGTTTAAAAAGAGTCACGACAATAAACATCCAGTTAAACATATAAAAAATAACAAAAAGCCAAAGTGCGGCAAAAAGTTATTTAATTTACACCACTGTAATTCTCACATGAAATGAAAGAAAGGCTGCGTTGCCAAGTTAAATAAAGCTGCCAGCGCCTCCTAGCGTTACGCCTTGTAAGCTTAGTTTATATTATTAGTATTGAGTTTATATTATTAGTATTACTGTTTTAAATATATATTATTTAGTTAAAATATTATATATTTTAGTAAAACTAATATATATCTTAGAAAATGAGTTAAAATATATATAATTCAAACAAATTATTTATATTAAAAATTTTTTTTTTATATTTTTACAAATAATTCTATATTTTATAAATCATAATTATGGCACAAACGGCGCCTCATACTCGACCCTGTCGAATGATGTCTCTAGAAATTATTAAAAAAGGGTTCAGTCCAATGGTGCAGCAACTTCGGATTCCTATTCTCCTCAGAGACATAGAAACTCAAGCTTTTCTAATTTTACTGGCAATGATTTTCGTTAATGTCCCCGAGAATTATACAAAAACAGCGCAATGCAATATCGCAACGGTTTTGACTTCTCTTTACTGTACCAAGTTATAGAAACTGGAGTCTCTCTAATACTGTTCTAGTCAATATTTCTGAGAGTATAAAAAGAGGGTGTAATATTAATATTGCAAGAAGTTTTGATCTTTTGATGGATGCAAGTAGTTTGAATTTTCTCCTTTCTGCATATGATTTTGTTGAAAATAGTTCCTTTCTTTGGTTCCTTTGTCTGATTTTTATTTACCGTAACAACTCAGGTATGTAAAGCACAGATGATATGATGTTAAGTATATTTATGTAATATATAAAGTACCTATATTTGTATTAAAAATTTCAGAGGTTATGTTGAAAAAATTATCGATATGCTATTAAACTTTAATAATTTAGTAATTAGGTCTGTTGGTAGACCCTGCACTATCTCCACTGGTATATGTTAGTTTTGTAATATTTAAATCTGGTTGATGAAAAAGTACACACCAGTGCAGGTTATTGTAGCATCTACGAACAAATGAATTAATGGCCCATTGGCAATTGTTCCTTTAGGAAAAATATTCAACACAGCTTAATTAATTAATAAAATAAAAAAAATCACAATCATGTCGTATATAGTTTTTTTTAAGCATAAAATAATTTTTATATTAATACTAGTTCAAAAGTGAAATTACGACCTCTATACTGTGGAGAGTATTGAAACGCTCGACTGACGCATACAACTCTATACCGTATGGAGATTTAGAAAACCATATTCAAACGTGGCGTCATCCTATACACCTCTATAATTTTCCGTTTGCTGTGTTATTAAAGTGCTAAACTTTAATCTTACTATTATCTAATAAATGCTAAAACGGCGTGCCATAGGAATTCCTTACTAACTTTTTATTTTTAAAAAATAAATAAATAATTTCTTTTTTAGGCTCTAAAAGAAATAAAAAATAAACTGATCAAGTTGGAGGGTACTTTAGAAATTAAATTAGAAAATAATGTGACTGATCCAATTTTAATAGAAATTTTATAGGGTAAGAATTTTAAATACCAGATTGTGTTTGTATTTCCCTTTAATTTATTTATGTTAAAAGATCTGTTCATAGGCAAGTTTAAATGTTGTACATAGAGTTTGTTTATATTTTTATAGATAATAAAATATTAATATGATTCCATTGAAATTTTAATTTTAAAAGTTATGACCTGTATAAACAATTTAACATGCCTAAATAAATTCCCTATGCGCTGTTTTTTTATTTTACACATTCTATTTTTTTAATATGTGATTTGGAAAGGGAAAAACCAAATTTGAGTTTTTTAATGCTGAACTCAATTTGGAAAAGTTTGGGACCAAATTCATTCTCCTAGCAAAAAATTGTCCAAATCTTTTTTTTTTGTTACGAGGTAATAAAATAGACAACTTAATAAATTTTCTTGTTTATTCAATACTGTATATTATAAAAACAAGTTATACAATTCACAATACTTATTAAAACCAATTGTAAAGGCATTCCTTTTACGTTAATACATAATTATATTTTACTTAAACATTAGACCTTATTAAGAACACACGTTAGCAAAATTATTATTAAATGGGTTTAACGGCTCGAAGCGGTTTTGATTATTTTGAGTAAAAATACATTATATAAATAAATATTCAAAAAATATTGTTGTCTGTGATGCACTGTTCTTAATAAGTTTAAAAATAGCAATGTTTTTTATATTAAGAATAAAATCAAATGGATTGAAATTTACAAAATTGGTCCATCTAAAATTTCAAATCACAGTTATATAAATTAACATAGAATAACTAAATACTTAAACCTAAATTGAAAATATAATACAATGCGGAATATAATATATAAGTTCAGTACGATCATTTCTTGGATAGGCTACAAAACGTAATTGGCAAAAAAAAACAGTAAAACATTAAACTAATACCACAGTACTTATAATTATTAATTACATTTAGAAAATTAAAAAAAGCTTTCAGCTTACCATAGTTGTATGTACAAAAAATTGTAAACGTTTGTATAAAATGTATACCTGGAATGTTTTCAAAAAAGAATGTCTGAGTTCGTTCCAGCGCTGAACGCAATCGGCTCTTCAGCTTCCTTCATCAAGTCAGCCTTGTCTGTTTCGTCTTTATCAACTGTTTGCAAGGAACTCTGGATGGAACGCGTCACTCCCAACTGAAAGTCCTCGGTACCTTTCGGCGTATAATTTGACAGTGTTGATCCTAAAACCAAACATTGTTTTCAAAGCTTAGTCTTAACCAACAACTTCAATGGTTTATAAAAAAAGGGATTTTTATTCAAGCGTATAACAATTTTCCTATAAGCCTATATAGAAAAACTAAATATATATTTTAATTTTAAATATATATTTTCTATTTAGTTTAAGGATTCTTTTATTTATTTAAATGACATGAATTTCATTTATTAATAAACAGTTTTTAAAATAGAATTTTTATGATTTACTTTTATTGGTCTTTTTTCTTACAAATTTAAGAATGCTTTACATTCCACGATAATGTTTATTAATAATTAATGTAATGGATAAGTATTTATTATGGTGAATTAAATGTGGTTTGTTTATACAGTATGTCTCAGTATCTTGGAATCATATGGAAAACTTTTTTATTATTAATTTTAGGAAAAAAAGTTATTCTTCATAAAAAGTTCTGCATGGTGTAAAACTTAAAATGCAACCCACAAATATTATTTTTTTTTAGTCGTATACGGGGTATGTCAAAAAATATGAATTTGGCTCAAGAGTAAAGTACCTTTATATTTGACAATATCGAAAATTGTTATAAAGAAAAGTTAATCAGAACTAAAAACTACGTTCAAATATGCAATTACATCCATTTACATTAAAAAAAAATATTTTTTTTTGTTGTCTACAATATCAATGCAAATTTAACTGTAACATGTAATTTAGGACTCACTGATAAACAAATGATTTGTTGATATTCTAATACTTTTTGGCCTGCTAGATCCCCTGACTTAACTTAAGGTTTTCATGTTTTTTTCTAATCATAACAGATAAATGTTCATTTAAAATAGAAAGATTAGTAAAAATTAACAAAACCTAATTTTTTAATGTAAATGTATGAAATTGCATATTTAAACGTAGTTTTTAGTTCTGATTAACTTTTCTTTATAACAATTTTCAATATTGTCAAATATACTCTTGCGCCAAATTCATATTTTTTGACATACCTCGTATACGACAAAAAAAAATTAATATTTGTGGGTTGCATTTTAAGTTTTACACCATGCAGAACTTTTTAAGAAGAATAACTTTTTTTCCTAAAATTAATAATAAAAAAGTTTTCCATATGATTCCAAGATACTGAGACATACTGTATTTACTAGGTCAGATATTCTACGATAATCGGGAATTTTTATCCCGATCGTCAGAAATTGTATTGTGACGATAGGGATAACAATTTCCGATTATCGTCTAATATCCGTATCTAATAAATATAGACCTACCACATAAATTAAATGTGGTAGGTAAATATTTATTAGATAAGGATATTAGACGATAATCGACAATAATAGATATTTCACTTATCTATTAAAAATTATTCAAATAACCACTATAAAATCTTTAACACCTCGTATCAGAAACTTTAGATTAACACGGGTTTAACCTTTAGGAGAGCAGGGGTTATGTCATTTATTAAGTTAAAAATAATACTATGTATAATACATATATCCGATATACATATACAGGGTGTTTCAATAAAAACTCCCAGGCCAATTATTTCGAAAACTAAAAGTGACATTTAAATTCTGTAAACGCCAGTTTTTAGCCTCTATGATTGGCTTCACAACTGTGTAAAAAAAATTGTTTGAATAATAAAAGATGTAGGTGGCGCCACTGTGCAAAGAATTTTTTCGATGACAGGAACAGCACAAATGGGGATCTTAGATGGCCAGCAAGGTCACCTGACTTTTATTTATGGGGCGGCTTACAAAATGAAGTCTACAAGGAACCAATAGAAGACATGGCTGACCTGTACAACAAAATCTATGTTACTATAGCCGCTTTAATCAAAATACACTATTGAGAGTTTGCAGAACCGAATTATTATATCGATTTGATATGTGTGTATAAAAACGGCAATAATTTTGAATTCCTCATTCGACCTTAATTTCTCACCAGTTCTTTCATAAAATTTAAAACATCCTTTAATTTTATTTTATTGTTTTAATGTTTTCACCTTTGTTTTTAAACAGCAAAAAATATAGCGTATTAATAATTTATGGTTTTGTATCTTAATGATGTTTGTTTTCCAAATGGTTTTATTTTTATTTCTTGAAAACAAAGCAAAAAAATATAGAAATTACCAGAAACTCAGTGGCGTATTATTTTTTGCCAATATTATTTGTTAAGGGCCCCCACGAGCGTTTTATCACTATAATTATGATTACCAGAATTAAATGAACATCTGCTAAAGCATATTAAAAATATTTATAATTAAAATACTCGTTAAAATTATTTAAAAAAACTTAACCTCAAATATCTCCTTTCATGTTGGATTTATCAAAAGTTTGTATGGGACATAATTTGATCAAAAATTAATTAAAAGTTCCTCTCATCGAAAAAATTATTTGCACAGTGGCACCACCTAGGTAGCTACATCTTGTATTATTCAAACAAATTTTTTACACAGTTGTGAAGCCAATCATAGAGGCTAAAAACTGGCGTTTACAGAATTTAAATGTCACTTTTAGTTTTCGAAATAATTGGCCTGGGAGTTTTTATTGAAACACCCTGTATATATAAGTGTTTAAAGTGAATTTTCATGCAAACATTTAAAAAATGGTGCGATTAATTTCCAAAGTTACATACACTAAAAAAGTAGTAGGACAAATTTACACAATGGAAATTTTTTTTAGTTTAATTAAATTAAAAAGTTCGCACAATAAATCTCATAAATGTACATAATTTCTAAAATTCACAATGTATTCCCATCTATTTTGACCCACTAAACACGAAAATCACACTAATTTTTTTTTATGGAAGAGTTTTTGAAATATTAATTTTCAATTGTTTTTTTCATTTTCGGACGTGTTTTGACGTTTTTGAGTAAAAATTCATAATTTCGCCATTTATCCATAGATTTTTATCAACAGCAGCTTATTTTTTTCCTTTAGGTATAATCTATTCGTAAAATAAATCAAACTGGACTTATCTTTTCGATTTCTATCTTTCCTAGAAAGATATGTAAATTTTTGACCTCGATTTTTGTAAAACAAAAGGACTTTTTCAACTTCATAAAATCGCCACTATCGAACTTCTGAGCCGATACCAAAACTATACCATAGAAAGTTGTAGATGGCTCAAATACCTTTGATTTAAGTGCTTGTCGGGTCAAATCAATCAATTAGAACTCGAAGTATACTTTAAAACGTCAAAACACAAAAAATTCATATATCGAAAACGCTTCCATGAAAAAAATTGGAAGTGTGATTTTCGCGTTTAGTGAGACAAACTATACAAGAAAATCATAGTGAGACATGGTGGGCAAAAGGGCCGTAAACTAGTGTAATTTATGTTTTTTAATCAAATATTTATTAATTGTATTTAATATTTTTTTTCAATCATTTTATCGTTTTTCCTACTTACAAAAATTATTTGCATGCGATATACATTTTTTTAAAAATTTATTTATAACAATGTGGCATTTCAACTGTTACTAAATTGAATTTTTTATAATAAATTTATTAATTTTGACATTTACATTTTTAATTAGGTAATGTTGGCATTTCTAAGATATTTTTTTAGGATTTTAAAATATGCATTAATTAATTAATTTTGGCATTAAGTATATGTATATACTTGACTTTTTTAAATATGGTTTTTACTTAAGTTAAGTATTTTTATTTTAAAGCCCAAAACTTAATTTTTTAGTCCAACTGACAATTCTATATATCCCAAAATTCATTATATTTTCTCACTTAATAAAACTCGCGTTATTATTAGGTATAGTAGTGTATTTTAGTGTATTTTAGTGAAATCTGCAGCTCGGTTTCAATTCTAAAATATCATCGTTATTCTAAAATATTATTGTTATATTATGGGTGATAATATAAAATTTATTTTGGCCTTTCGTGGATGTTTTGTCCTTTAAAAATTAAAAAAAAAATCCTGTCAAGATAAAAATTGGAAATGGGAAATTCCATGATAACTCACGGGACATTCAGATGACAGAAATAAAATTTAACTTGGTATACCAGAATACCTATATTTATTAGGAATGTATAAAATGTTTAAACTTTAAAGGATAGGCCAATGTACATTTTTAACATTTTTTAATAAGTTCACCAATTGATCTCTAGACAAAATGCAGACAAAACGTGTGATAACTCATGGGACACGAAAAACTTTCTTTAAAAAATTGGTTAAATGAAGCAACCTTTTTCTCTGAATCCTAAACTGTATGCAACATAATCTTATTTTAAAAATATACTTTGCCTATAGTGTATTAAAAAAACATTCAACTTAACTGCTTTGATTGTGTGAGGTTTTCAAAAAATTGGTTAATATGATAACTCATGGGACATAACATATTTTTAGTGCAGAATTCAAAAGCAGTTAAGACTTTTTAATTATTTAAAATTTTATGGAATATTGGGTTAAATAAATAAAGTAATAATTTTCTAGGCACAAGTAGACATGTATGCTCCTAGTTTAATAACATTTGGAACATTTCAATTGATATAAATTTGAAGAAAATTACGCTATTACGCATGGAATTGCCCAAATGTAAATAAAAAATATAATAATATATGAACCAATCAAAAGCCTTGAATTTTCGAATAAATTTCGTTTAAATAAGCGATTAAATCACTAGAACTATTTAACAGCGATTAAATTTTAGCCTCCATATTGGATTTTTGTTTACGATTTTATGGTGTTATTTACAAGTTTTAACAAACATTTTTTAAAAAACAATAAAAAATAAGTTATCTAGTTTACGAAATATCAATTATTACTTATTACATACCTTAAATTAATGGAATTTTCACTAGTACTACCACTAGAGGTCAAATTATTTCCGGAAATTTTTTCGAGCTCATGAATATTTTGAAAATTATCCCGAGTCGAAGACAATATTCATGAGGGAGAAAAAATTTCCGGATTTAATTTGACCTCGTGTGGTATTCGGTAAGAAAATTCCACACCAAATTGTGTTTAAAATTTAAACTTTAAATAATTAAAATTTATTTTTTGATTTAACTTGACCTTGACTTGATTATTTAGTTACCATGGCAACTAAGTCAACCCCAACCTAAAAGTTATTTCAGTTTTGAAGCTGTCAAGCGGCACGACGTAAAAAATGTGAAATTGTCTGCTGTAATGATCAATCATCGTGCAATGACTTATTTACCCGCATTATTAGAGGATTGTGGCTCCTACTTGAAGAAAGAAAATTTGTTTTGAATTGTTCACGAATATTTGCATCTTAACTATTCAAAACTCAAAGTGCTAAATGGAAAAAAAGCTGAATAGAATAGTGTCTAAATATTATATATATTTCATTAGACATAGACATTTAATTTATTTCAAGTCCTGCATTTTCGCCATTAAGAAGAAAGGAGGTGTCCAACGAATATAGAAAACATCTAAACTTTGTAATGGAAATGTATCAAAATTATCATGTAAACAAATAAAAACCAGATTGTCAAAAAAATATTCTGTCATTATAAATGTCAAAAAATTTCCAGTATAATTCGCTGTTGGGTACCCACGAGGAAAAAATTTCCACTAAAATTCAACCGTTGCCATGGTGATCTATCAAAAATACACGTTTTGATTGGTTAAAAATTACAGGTGTGGAATTTTCTTTAAAAAAAAATATTTATAAATTTTGACACATACGTCAGATTTTATGAATTGTCAAATAGTTTCCTTTAATTCGAGAAATAATCTAGACGTATATCACTCAACCTATAAATTTAATGTGTCAATCTATGCTCAGTAAGTTTTTTATTTGATTTTTCTTCTTAAAAATAAAACCCCTCGACCGCTACGCGGTCTCGTGATTTTATTAAATTATTTTGCATTCAACATTTTCCAACAAAAACCAAACAAAAAACTACTGAGCCTAGTTTAACCGATTAAATTCATAGTTCTCGTGATATAATATATGAAAAAATAGTTAAATATGGGATAAAAATATAGGATTGTTTTGATTTGAATAGGTATATAAATGATATAAATTAATATTTATGCATACATTATTATTTCTTTTTTTGTATTCCGTTGACAATATTTCCATTTATTTGTTTACTGTTTTTTAAACTTGTTCAATACTGAACATAAAATATTTATTTTATTGTTGAAAATGTCAGTTAGCCACTGTTACTTTTTTACAGAATTATTTTAGATAGAACAATGTTTTGGGTTTTTTAATTTTTTTATACACAGGAATATTTTTTTTATTATAAAAATAACTTACCAGATAGATTAGGAACTGAATGTCCTAAAGTTGAGTTTGATACAGGTGAAGGTACTTCATCAAATAAAAGTGATGTTTCCGAAGGATATTCAAAAATTTCAGGAATACTATCCACAAATGATATGTTTAGCTAAAAATAAAAAAATAAATATTAATAAATGCTATTTACAATTTTTTCAGACATCCTGTATATTGTTTATGTCTTTGAGGCATTCTTATATTTTATTTTAAAAATATCCTCGAACATAATGGGCAAGACTAGTTCTAAAGATGATTTAATCCAGTTTTCAAGCAGTTTTCAAACGAAACCTATATAAGACCGTTTTCTTGGAAACAAAAAAGAGCAGAAGAAGAAGCGCAGCCGGCAGGCTCCTTGAGGTTGACTTCTTCTTGTGGAAAGGTAGATGACACCGGCATCTCGTCGTGTAGGTAGGTCAAATAATACACGAGAAAATTACGTCCTCCGGCCTTTCTGGCATTCCATGCCTTAAACCGCATACCTCGTTGTTTACGTTTTTTTTCTTTTTTTGTTGCCACGGTGTCGATAAATCAAAATTGCGTGTATACGCAATGAGGCATTTTTGTTAAGAATGTAGTTTATACTACAGGTAAATCGAATGTCTCATGTAGGTACTTCTTAAAAACAACTCGTAACTCAAAGTTTGCAGTAAACTAAATATTTTTTTATTATTTACAAAGGGTGTTTTCTTGTTTTCCCTACAAGACCAACTTTCTTATTTATATAATAAAAATAAACTTTTATTTTGCGTATACTTCTAATTATAATATAATTAATTGATCTCTTACAAGAACAAACACTTGAACAAAATCTTCACCAACTTCAACAAAATTTATTTGTTCTTTCAGAGGCTTTAAGCCGTAATTTTCGTTTTTCCTAGCTTTTAATGCAAATTAAGGTACTTGTAACAAAACACATTGCAAACTGCGAACATAACCCAATTGTTCTGTTTTATATTGCCGCAATCCTATTCAAAACCAAGTTTTGGCCAATAATAAGGTTTAGTCAGTTATAAATGTATTTATGAGTATATTTAATAGTACATTTTAAAAATGTATCACTCTTATAATATAATAAACACATATTTAAGCATATATGCATATATGTAAGATAACCTACAAATCTACTCATTTAAAATTTGCGATGTTGCCAAATTGGTTCAAACTTAAAACAGCGGATATGCGTAAATCAGTTGATATAAATAAATTAACGTTTCTGCATACGGCCCTTAATATCCTTGACAATGGTTTTTGTCCGATGTCGATAACTTTTTTTCGTTAAAAAAATAACGTGCGCACTAGGGTGCTTCAAAAAATAAAATTTATTTTTTTTTTTCGCTCTTACCCTCTCAAATGTTTCTATTTAATATAAAAAAATCCTCACCAAATATGGGCGTTTCAGCTCAACTCTAAGAGGTCGCTGTTTTTATTTTAGTTTCCCATATAATTAACATGGGAAAAAATAATTTTATGTTTGGAATTTTATACCTCTGTATCAAAGTAACTTATGGCAAAGATCATTGCAGTTTCTTATATAAAATGTAACGCTCTACAATGGTCTCTTATTATTTTTCGATAAATTGATTTCTTCTAGAGTTATTCGAGGTCAAAGTTTGATATCATCAAATTTTCTGGGTTTTTTAATTTTATGGTAGCAGATAGGAGGTGAAAGGGGGCAAAACAAGGCAACGGGGGGGGTCAAAATGGGGTACCCAAAAAATGAGCATATGAAAAGTTTTCCAAAATTGTAAACGCTCAGAATAATTATTTTCGATTAAAAGCGTAAACTTGTGAGTCAATTTTCAAATAATTTAGAAACCAAAAAAAACAATCTAAAAAAAAATTTTTTGTACGAAATTTTTTGGGTGCCCCATTTTGCCCCCCCCCCACTGCATTGTTTTGCCCCCTTTCACCTCCCGTCTGCTAATTGTACCATAAAATTAAAAAAAAATCAGAAAATTTGATGTTAATCAAACTTTGACCTCGAATAACTCTAGAATAAATCAATTTATCGAAAAATAATAGGAGACCTTTTTTGCAGAGCGTTACATTTTATATAAGAAACTGCAATGATCATTGCCATAAGTTAATTTGATACAGAGGTATAAAATTCCAAACATAAAATCATTTTTTCCCATGTTAAATAAATGGGAAACTAAAATAAAAACAGCGACCTCTTAGAGTTGAGCTGAGACCCCCATATTTGGTGAGGATTTTTTTTATATTAAATAGAAACATTTGAGAGGGTAAGAGCGAAAAAAAAAAAAATTTATTTGTAATTATTGATCAAGAGAGGATAATTAAAATGAGCATATTTTGCTGATTTTTTTTTCAGTTTTCTAATAGACTTAACGCAACTTTTTTCAAAACCCTAATTTTATAAAATATGTTTTAATACGTTTTTCTAACATTTGCTTTCTGGAAAAAAAAATGATAAACTGTTTAAAACAAAAAAATGAATGGCCTCTATAAGGTATTACGGTTAAAAACCCAAATATTATTTTATCACTGTACTGTTTATTTACGACTTCAATGGCAACTAAATATTTCGAATTCCACATTGTTGTCAATAGCGTTACATAAATTATAAAATTGAAAACAAGGTTTATATTATTATTAAACAAAACCGAGGGGAATGGTAGAAAGTTTTCGGTGGTTTACCAGAACAAAAAGATTTAAATTTAAATAATAATTTTAATTGTTACCTATTGTGAAACATTTCCGGTTTTCTTCTTCTGCGTAATTATTATTATTTTTATTTATTTAACAGTAAGAACAAATTATGATTAGGGTTACAGTTACTTGTTATTACGTGTTTTATTGAATACTATTATATTGCAAACACTATAAAAATTCTTTGTAAAAATGTGAAAATAAGAAACTAACGCATATTCATGAAAACAAATATTTTTTCGAGGTTACTTACAATAACTGATAATTATTATTGTATGCTGAAATTGCATATTTTTTGTAATAAAAATTTATGTTGTATTTGGTGATTTTTTTCATCTTTCGCTTTTCCTATGGTCGCCATATTGGAATTTGACATGGTTAGATAGAATAAAAAATCAAGGAATCCAACGAAGTATCAAACTAAAGTCTATTCAAATCCAAGCTGGACTAAACAAAAACGCCCAGACGCGTGATAACTCGTTTCTATTGGTAGATTCTGATGGTGTGACTCGGATTGTGAGCTGTTATTGGTCGATTCGGAGGATTGTGTTTACATTTAGTCCAGCTTGGATTTGAATATACTTTACATAAGTTATATTTTAGATTTGAAAGGTTTATGGTTATTTTTTTAAATATGGCTTTCTTACAACTTATAAATTTCATGTTAACAGGCCAGGGCTGTAATCAGTGTTCCCAACCTTTCAGAGTAATAATTCCCTTGTTGCATGGCAAAAATTCCCTATTTCGTGCCAAAATTCCCTGCTTTCAATGTTGCCAAGAAAAATGACTTCATATCAAAAATACAATTTTTAAAATAAATTTTATTATGTTTGTAACAAAAAAATAAAATAAAATAAAAAGCAAACGCCGAAACAACATCTGAGGCGTATACTGCAAAAGCGGCCTAACTGAAAAAAATCAATTTGTGTTTTTATCTTAAAATATTTCTATAATGCGCTTATCGAGTGAGCTAGCCTATTATAATAAAGTGTATTTTAATATACAGAGTAGTAACTACACTTTAGCTCACTCGATAAGCGCATTATATGAATATGTCGAGATAAAAAAAAAATGTTTTTTTTTCAGTTGGGCCGCTTTTGCAGTATACGCCTCATCTAACAAATAAATTATTAAAATATAAGGGTAAACATGAAATAAAATTGATTAATTAATTTTATTAAAACTCGCAGTTGACATATAGTTAGTTCTTCTTCTAGCCACAACATTTGTACTTCTTTTTATTTTGGGTCACTTTATTAAATAAGTTACCGAAAAAAAAGTGTAATCTATAACGTGGGCTTTTTAATAATAAATATGAAAAATTCCCTAATTTTAACAATTTTTACTAAAAAATTCCCTTTTTGGTACCAAAATTCCCTAAAAAGGGAAAATTCCCTGCAGTTGGGAACACTGGCTGTAATTACTCAACTTTTCCTATATTTAACCGACATTGTAGCCCTTCTATTCTTAGAAATAAAAACCTAATTTTAAAACAACTTTTTGAATGATTAGAAATCAAAGATAAAAGTAAATGATATGAAAGTGGCTGAAATGACAAATTAAATTAATAGTACCTACTTAATACAATCTGGTATGTTAAAAAAATTTAATCACAAGTTGTTACTTTGAATTGTTAAAAATATCTGATAATTGATATAATTTGAGCGTGAAAACGTATTTAAACTAAGAAAAAGACTTTGTTTAAAATTGTGTATTTGAATCTAGGTTTTGAATGCTTCGTAATAATTTTAAATGAACTTTAATGAACTCAAACAATACATACATAGGGGGGAACAGGGGGTAACTTTAAAATTTCCAATGGAACACCCTATTTTTTATTGCAGATTCGGATCATTCGACTAAAAATAGGCAGATTTTGTCTATTTCGAATATTAAAACTAAATGCGAATTAATAAATGCATTGAAGTGGAAGTCCACCATTTTGAGCACCTAGTTTAATTAAAATTTAAAAAATAAATAAATTTAAAAAATAAAACCAAGTATTTTATTCAAAAATTATTGGAGAATCGTATACAGAAGAAAAATCGAACAAAATAGATTTTTTTCATTACAGCGCCATCTATTACAAATATGAAAAAATGTTTTAGACAAAATCTACCTATTTTTAGTCGAATGATCGGACTCTGCAATAAAAAATAGGGTGTTCCATTGAAAATTTTAAAGTTACCCCCTGTTCCCCCTATAAGGAGGAGAGTATGAGCACCAATTTTAGTACTGATTGATTTCCCCCTTCGAATCATTTAATTTTATAAATGATTTTAAATTAAATATTAGTATAAAGCGACATCTATAGATGGGGCAAAATTTGCCAAGTGTACCAGGTGAAAAAATTTTTGTCACCGATTTTGTTTAAACTTTACTTATTTGTTGTTCTTATAACGAAGAATCATGGCATAATTTTTTTTGCTCTAGGATTGT